AGTAACATAATGTGAAAAGTTATTCAAGTACAAATGAGTGAATTGTTGCGGAACTTATGGGTAGACCTCTGCGGGACGAGCGCAGCGAGTGCCGCAGCCATCTATTCATCAATATGTTATTTAATTATGATACTAACCTGATTCACTCAAATGTGAGTTATTCTCATTAATTTAAAAAGTACACATTTAATTACGATACTCACCTGACTCACTCAAATATCAGTTATTCTCATTAGTTTAAAAACTACACGTTTCAGGTGAGTGTCTTATTAACAGTTCAACAGTATATTGGTAAGTGGATAGCTGCGAAACTCGCTGCGCTCGTCCCGCAGAGGTCCACCCATAAGTTCCGCAACAATTCACTTATTTGTACTTGAACAATAACTTATTATATAAAGTTAGAATTTGTGAGATTATCCACTTTTTGTCAATTTGCCTTTTAACAGGAATTAGTAATGTTACTTCACCAAACTAGTAATATAATGTGACAAGTTATTCAAGTACAAACGAGTAGATTGTTGCAGAACTTATGGGTGGACCCTCAGGTGGACCCAGCCATCTATTTACCAATATGTTGTTCAAGTACAATACTAACCTGATTCACTCAGTTGTGAATTTTACTCATTAGTTTAAAAACTACACGTTTCAGGTGAGTGTTTTATTTGAACAGTTCAACAGTATATTGGTGAGTAGATGGCTGCGGAACTCGCTGCGCTCGTCCCGCAGAGGTCCACCCATAAGTTCCGCAATAATCCACTTATTTGTACTTGAACAATAACCTATTATATAAAGATTATGATTACTTATTCACTTTTTGTTAATTTGCCTTTCAACAGGAATTAGTAATGTTATTTCTTTACCAAACTAGTAACATAATGTGACAAGTTATTCAAGTACAAATGAGTGAATTTTTGTGGAACTTATAGGTGGACCTCTGCGGGACGAGCGCAGCGAGTTCCGCAGCCATCTATTTATCAATATGTTGTTTAATTACGGTACTCACCTGACTCACTAAAATGTCAGTTATTCTCATTAGTTTAAAAACTACACGTTTCAGGTGAATGTCTTATCTGAACAGTTCAATAGTATATTGGTGAGTAGATGGCAGTGGTCCATCTATAAGTACCGCAACAATCCACTTATTTGTACTTGAACAATAACTTATTATATAAAGTCAGAATTTGTAAGATTAGCCACTTTTTGTCAATTAGCCTTTTAACAGGAATGTTACTTTACCAATCTAGTAATAATATATTGTGATTAGTTATCCAAGTACAAACGAGTGGATTGTTGCGGAACTTATGGGTGGACTCAGCCATCTATTCACCAATATGTTGTTCAAGTACAATCACTCAGTTGTGAACTTTCCTCATTAGTTCAAAAAGTACACGTTTCAGGTGAGTGTCTTATTTGAATAGTTCAACAGTATGTTGGTGAGTAGATGGCTGCGGAACTCGCTGCGCTCGTCCCGCAGAGGTCCACCCATAAGTTCCGCAACAATCCACTTATTTGTACTTGAGCTATAACTTATTATATAAAGTCAGAATTTGTGAGATTATTCACTTTTGTCAATTTGCCTTTTAACAGGAATTAGTAATGTTACTTTACCAAACTAGTAACATAATGTGAAAAGTTATTCAAGTACAAATGAGTGAATTGTTGCGGAACTTATGGGTAGCCTTCTGCGGGACGAGCGCAGCGAGTTCCGCAGCCATCTATCCAACAATATGTTATTTAATTATGATACTAACCTGATTCACTCAAATGTGAGTTATTCTCATTAATTTAAAAAGTACACATTTAATTACGATACTCACCTGACTCACTCAAATATCAGTTATTCTCATTAGTTTAAAAACTACACGTTTCAGGTGAGTGTCTTATTAACAGTTCAACAGTATATTGGTAAGTGGATGGCTGCGAAACTCGCTGCGCTCGTCCCGCAGAGGTCCACCCATAAGTTCCGCAACAATTCACTTATTTGTACTTGAACAATAACTTATTATATAAAGTTAGAATTTGTGAGATTATCCACTTTTTGTCAATTTGCCTTTTAACAGGAATTAGTAATGTTACTTCACCAAACTAGTTACATAATGTGACAAGTTATTCAAGTACAAACGAGTAGATTGTTGCAGAACTTATGGGTGGACCCTCGGGTGGACCCTCGGGTGGACCCAGCCATCTATTTACCAATATGTTGTTCAAGTACAATACTAACCTGATTCACTCATTTATGAATTTTACTCATTAGTTCAAAAACTACACGTTTCAGGTGAGTGTTTTATTTGAACAGTTCAACAGTATATTGGTGAGTAGATGGCTGCGGAACTCGCTGCGCTCGTCCCGCAGAGGTCCACCCATAATTTCCGCAATAATCCACTTATTTGTACTTGAACAATAACCTATTATATAAAAATTATGATTACTTATTCACTTTTTGTTAATTTGCCTTTCAACAGGAATTAGTAATGTTATTTCTTTACCAAACTAGTAACATAATGTGACAAGTTACTCAAGTACAAATGAGTGAATTGTTGTGGAACTCATAGGTGGACCTCTGCGGGACGAGCGCAGCGAGTTCCGCAGCCATCTATTTATCAATATGTTGTTTAATTACGGTACTCACCTGACTCACTAAAATGTCAGTTATTCTCATTAGTTTAAAAACTACACGTTTCAGGTGAATGTCTTATCTGAACAGTTCAATAGTATATTGGTGAGTAGATGGCAGTGGTCCATCTATAAGTACCGCAACAATCCACTTATTTGTACTTGAACAATAACTTTATTATATAAAGTCAGAATTTGTAAGATTAGCCACTTTTTGTCAATTAGCCTTTTAACAGGAATGTTACTTTACCAATCTAGTAATAATATATTGTGATTAGTTATCCAAGTACAAACGAGTGGATTGTTGCGGAACTTATGGGTGGACTCAGCCATCTATTCACCAATATGTTGTTCAAGTACAATCACTCAGTTGTGAACTTTCCTCATTAGTTCAAAAACTACACGTTTCAGGTGAGTGTCTTATTAACAGTTCAACAGTATATTGGTAAGTGGATGGAGGTCCACCCATAAGTTCCGCAACAATTCACTTATTTGTACTTGAACAATAACTTATTACATAAAGTTAGAATTTGTGAGATTATTCACTTTTGTCAATTTGCCTTTTAACAGGAATTAGTAATGTTACTTTACCAAACTAGTAACATAATGTGACAAGTTATTCAAGTACAAACGAGTGGATTGTTGCGAAACTTATGGGTGGACCCAGCTATCTATTCACCAATATGTTGTTCAAGTACAATACTTACCTGATTTACTCAATTGTGAATTTTTCTCATTAGTTCAAAAACTACACGTTTCAGGTGAGTGCCTTATTTGAACAGTTCAACAGTATATTGATGAGTAGATGGCTGCGGAACTCGCTGCGCTCGTCCCGCAGAGGTCCACCCATAAGTTCCGCAATAATCCACTTATTTGTACAGGGTGTTTTTTTATATATTGACACTCCACCTACAGCCTTTACCTTTACAGGTAGAAAAAAGGTGTAAATATAAAAGTTGTACAGTTTTGGCTGAATTTTTAGAAACCATGGTCAGAAACGAAATTTGAATGTCAGAAATGTGAAATTTTGCATGCTTTCAGCTTTTTTCAAATGGGATGCCCTATATTTCATTCTATATTCTTGAAGAGCACAATGCCCCGATCTATTTTTGATCGTTGATTGAGTAATCTCCCATATAGTCGGCTCCACAAATTGTGAAAATACTATCCTACTATTGATTTTGTGAATCATTCTACCTGTATAGGTGAAAGCTATAAAATTTGAGATACTTGGTTTCTCTGGTAGTATTTTTAAAACTTTTAGAACCAAATATGTTGGAGATGGCTCAACCAAATATAGACAAACTATATAGTTTTGGAATCGGGAAATTGCGCTCTTCAAGAATATAGATCTAAATATAGAGCATCTCATTTGAAAAAAGCTGAAAGCATGCCACATTTCACATTTCTGACATTCAATTTTGTTTCTGACCATGGATTCTAAAAATTTTGCCAATACTGTACAACTTTTGTATTTACACCTTCCATCTACTTGTAAAGGTAAAGGCTGTAAGTGGAGTGTCAATACATAAAAAAATACCCTGTACCTAACTTGGTCCAAATGAGCTTGAAATATTCAGGAATTGTAGTCCTCAACTGGGATGAAAATCGCTGAATCAGTTTTCTATCTATAATAGAATTTGAGCTGATTTTTCAAAAATACATAAGAATGACAGAACTTTGAATATTCCCGGCGCTTGAGTGGATTTGACCATTAAAAGCCTGGAATAATAAAGGAAGAGACAATAATATAAAAAAAATCAATGAATAAGAGAGAGACACAAATAAAGTAGAAAAACAAAAATTCTGAAAAAATTTCAATATTTCCAGCGCCTTGAATGACTTTGTAATTTTTTTTTTTTGTATTCGAGCCTATAGAATAATAGAGTAAAAACTATGAGATATTCATTGATTAAAAAAGAGACACGAATAAAGTAGGATTCAATAATTGTGACTCGAATGTTGATTATCTCCGGAGCTTGAATGGACTTTTTATGTCTGACCATCAAAAGTCTGGAATAATAAAGTAAGAGATAATAATATAACAGGAGGAAGACACAAATAAAGTAGCAAAAAAAATTCACTCTACATTAGATGAGAATTTTCAATTTCATATTGAAATAAATAATCGCTTGTTCGTTTCAATATCAGGATCAGTAAAAGGAATGTTCACTTTTATAAAGAAAATTGGTTTTAAAACTTTACAAAAATACAAGAATTTTAGCTCAACGTTTCATCACATTCCATTTCATCCTCAGGTCAAAAACATATACCTACATGCTTACATGTTCACGTCATTTTAATCTTTGTGGCGTTTTGGGAATTTTCACTTGAAAACATAATTTATTACCTCCTATACGGTTTAATTATTTATTACTTTCTTCTAGGAACTTGGCCAACAACCAAATAGCATCGATAAACGCTGGATCGTTTCCCGTGATGAACAATATTTTAATTTTGTAAGTATTTTCAATATAGAAAGAAAATTTCCACAAGATCTAAAATAGCACTTAATACGTTTTCTATAGGACAAAAGAGTGAGAATGTGAATTTTATTATTATTATTGCTTTTTCGTGTTTGCCCTTATTTTTTTGTTTTGTCAGGATATCAGGGGTGAAAGAAAACATGACATTGTTACTACAGAGTGTATTATAAAGGGACAGAATATAGTGTATAGTATAAGAAACACATTTTCTATTTTTTTTTAATAAAATCTTCACCTTAAAAAGACCTGATAAAGGACAACACAGAACTTTTTAAATTATTCACGATGCCTACCAGCCTACCTACCTTTTTTCCAAGATCAACGAATGTTGATCACGTAGGTACGTGCAAATTTTATCAAAATTAGACTTTTAGATTCCAAATTCTCCTCTCTCTTTCTGTGTTCGTTTATCATTTTCATATCCGGAAAACGTCGCTCCGACTTTTACTTTTCCGTAACTTTTTTGATTTATTGTGTTCTTGAGGTTTATTTTTTGTAACAAATTAGCACCCACTGTGCATTAACTCAACGCATTTTAAATATAGAAATTGAACTCGAAAAGAAAAAACGTCCTGATTTTTAACCATTTTCGAAGTTAAGTTGAGTCCCTATCCGTTTAATCACCCAGAATAACAGTAATTTTGTATAACATTATCCCAAATTTTCAAAAATTAAAATGCAATTTTTTAGGCCACTATCTTAAAAAAATATGACGTCACGTACAACTATAGGGGAAACTGCTGATTTATTTCATCTCATTTTGTTTGACTGTTTGAGCGATGAACTAGACGTGCGGGTTTTTTTTTCAGTTAGTGGACCAATGTATATGAAAAATTGTAACTTTTTTTCTAGATTGCTGAAAAGAAATCAAATTTTGGACATCGAAGAAACGGCATTCATCCCTTTGCAATCTCTACGAATTTTGTAAGTTTTTTTTCCTCGATAATAACAAAAACAATTTGACCCAGATCATGTTTCGTTTTCCAGAGAGCTGGATGACAACTTTTTGACGCAAATTCCTCTGGCTATCACGAAACTTCCAGACCTTCAAGAGTTGTAAGTTTTTCAACAATTATTATTGGAAGTTTTGAAACAAAAACGAAAATTGTTTTCGGAACGATCGCTTTTCGAAACTTTTGCATTTATTGGCTGCAATTGACCGAGTTTTGTCTCATCGAGAATTATTTATAGGATTTTCTACTTTATTGTCAAAATTTGAAAGTAAAAAACTTATATAACACAAGTATGTCATGTTAGTTGATTGTGATTCGTTTCCTGTCAATTCCGTTTGAAAGTTTCTTGGCTTGATAATGTCTTAATTAAAGACGAAACGTTGCCGAAAGACTAATTGATTTTCTTTTCTATCCCTAAACCCAAGAAACTTTTAGAAACAAGTATGTACCTACTTAATAGTTGTACCTACTTAATAGTTGGATTTAAAATAAGTCTATGTATACAATGTATGTATTATATAGATTGTTTATTTTTCAGGTCAATTTCAGGCAACAGAATCAAGTACATCGCAGGAGGCCTATTGCAACAAACCCCAGCCTTAGCCTTACTAGAACTAAAAGGAAATCCACTTGTGGCCGTCGATTCCCACGCATTTTCCCATTTGCCACGTCTACGAAAGCTGCAAGTATATTTTTGTTTATTTTATTTTTCAACAATTGGCCCACTAATCCACTAACCAAGTTGAACGTACTAGTAACAACTTCCCAAGCACAATACAATATTCCATTAAATTTAAGTCCTATATCTGGGACGACAACCATTTTAAACTCTGGGAAAACGGTCACCCCCGCAAACCGCACACGAAAGTATTTTACGTATGCAAATTTTATTCCAGATTTGGATAATTGGATTGTTTTCTTTGTTGGCATTTATTTTAAAACCTCCTTTTTGCAGGATTCTATCGGACGCAAAGGAATTGTCAACGTTTCCCAACCTGAACGGCACCGGAGCTCTGGAAATATTGAGATTAGATAGAGCAGGCCTTACCCATGTTCCAGCTTTACTTTGTAATTTTTGTCCTAAACTTAAAAGCCTGTAAGTAACTTCAATAGCTAGCTATTAGTTTATATGGAAAAATTATTTTTAGAGACGTTAAATCCAATAAATTGGATCGGGTGCCGGATTTGAGCGATTGCCGCGAAATGAGGGTATTGTAAGTCAATGCAGGAAACCAATTATTATTGTTAAACTAAAAATTTCCTTGTTTCTAGAGATTTGGCAAGCAATTCAATTAGATCCGTCGAGGGAAAACCGTTCCAGGGCATGTACCAAATGCACGATTTGTTATTGGCTCACAACCGGATCCAATATATTCCGCACGATGCTTTTTACAATTTGTCGAAGTTACAATTTTTGTAAGGATACCTACCTATTATATTGGTAATAATGAAGTAATTTGTTTTAATTTTTTTTCAGGGATATGGAAAATAATCAAATTTCTTTTATACATCAAGATGCTTTTCTTTCAATATCGAAAATTGAAGACTTGTAAGTATGAAAATTTGTTATTATGTATGTACAGGGTGTTTCAAATTCAAATTGGAATTTCGGAAATATGTAGTAGTATAATACATGGGGTCATCAGGAAACTCGAAAGTGTCTAAGTAGTTTAGTTTCAAGGATTTTATAAAACTATTAATTTTAGAGCAAGTTAATATTTTTTTGTTTTATTGTTGAGCATTTAGCTAGAACATACTTAAATTTCATGACGATTGATCCTAAAAATCGCAGCTAAGTTATTTTAAGCCCAATTATCATGAAATTTAAGTATGTTTTTACTAAACCCTCAATAATATAGCAAAAAAATATAAACTGGCTCTAGACTTGAAAGTTTTCTGAAATCTTAGAAATCAAGCTAATTAGAGCCTAATGGGTGCACTTTAAACTTAAAAAAATCGCAGCTAAGTTATTTTAAGCCTAATTATCATGAAATTTAAGCATGTTTTTGCTAAATCCTCAATAATATAGCAAAAAAATATAAACTTGCTCTAGACTTGAAAGTTTTCTAAAAATCTTAGAAATCAAGCTAGTTAGAACCTTATGGGTGCACTTTAAACTTGGAAAAATCGCAGCTAAGTTATTTTAAGGCCAATTATCATGAAATTTGAGCATGTTTTTGCTAAATCCTCAATAATAAAGCAAAAAAATATAAACCTGCTCTAGACTTGAAAGTTTTCTAAAATCTTAGAAATCAAGCTAGTTAGAGCCTTATGGGTGTACTTTAAACTTAAAAAAATTGCAGCTAAGTTATTTTAAGCCCAATTATCATGAAATTCAAGCATGTTTTTGCTAAATCCTCAATAATAAAGCAAAAAAATATAAACTTGCTCTAGACTTAAAATTTTTCTAAAATCTTAGAAATCAAGCTAGTTAGAGCCTTATGGGTGCACTTTAAACTTAGAAAAATCGCAGCTAAATTATTTTGAGCCCAATTATCATGAAATTTAAGCATGTTTTTGCTAAATCCTTAACAATAAAGCATAAAAATATAAACTTGCTCTAGACTTGAAAGTTTTCTAAAATCTTTGAAATCAAGCTAGTTATAGCCTTATAGGGGAACTTAAAACTTAAAAAAAATCGCAGCTAAGTTATTTTAAGCCCAATTATCATGAAATTTAAGTATGTTTTTGCTTAATCCTCAACAATAAAGCAAAAAAATATAAACTTGCTCTAGACTTGAAAGTTTTCTAGAATCTTCGAAATCAAGCTAGTAGGAGACTTATAGGTGCATTTAAAACTTTAAAAAATCGCAGCTAAGTTATTTTGAGCCCAATTATCATGAAATTTGAGCATGTTTTTGCTAAATCCTCAATAATAAAGCAAAAAAAATATAAACCTGCTCTAGACTTGAAAGTTTTCTAAAATCTTAGAAATCAAGCTAGTTAGAGCCTTATGGGTGTACTTTAAACTTAAAAAAATTGCAGCTAAGTTATTTTAAGCCCAATTATCATGAAATTCAAGCATGTTTTTGCTAAATCCTCAATAATAAAGCAAAAAAATATAAACTTGCTCTAGACTTGAAAGTTTTCTAAAATCTTAGAAATCAAGCTAGTTAGAGCCTTATGGGTGCACTTAAAACTTAAAAAAATCGCAGCCAAGTTATTTCAAGCCCAATTATCATGAAATTTAAGCATGTTTTTACTAAATCCTCAATAATAAAGCAGAAAAATATAAACTTGCTCTAGACTTGAAAGTTTTCTAAAATCTTAGAAATCAAGCTAGTTAGCGCCTTATGGGTGCACTTTAAACTTAGAAAAATCGCAGCTAAGTTATTTTGAGCCTAATTATCATGAAATTTAAGCATGTTTTTGCTAAATCCTCAATAATATAGCAAAAAAATATAAACTTGCTCTAGACTTAAAATTTTTCTAAAATCTTAGAAATCAAGCTAGTTAGAGCCTTATGGGTGCACTTTAAACTTAGAAAAATCGCAGCTAAGTTATTTTGAGCCTAATTATCATGAAATTTAAGCATGTTTTTGCTAAATCCTTAACAATAAAGCATAAAAATATAAACCTGCTCTAGACTTGAAAGTTTTCTAAAATCTTAGAAATCAAGCTAGTTAGAGCCTTATGGGTGTACTTTAAACTTAAAAAAATCGCAGCTAAGTTATTTTAAGCCCAATTATCATGAAATTTAAGCATGTTTTTGCTAAATCCTCAGTAATAAAGCAAAAAAAATATAAACTTGCTCTAGACTTGAAATTTTTCTAAAATCTTAGAAATCAAGCTAGTTAGAGTCTTATGGGTGCACTTTAAACTTAGAAAAATCGCAGCTAAGTTATTTTAAGCCTAATTATCATGAAATTTAAGCATGTTTTTGCTAAATCCTCAATAATATAGCAAAAAAATATAAACTTGCTCTAGACTTGAAAGTTTTCTGAAAATCTTAGAAATCAAGCTAGTTAGAACCTTATGGGTGCACTTTAAACTTGGAAAAATCGCAGCTAAGTTATTTTAAGGCCAATTATCATGAAATTTGAGCATGTTTTTGCTAATTCCTCAATAATAAAGCAAAAAAATATAAACCTGCTCTAGACTTGAAAGTTTTCTAAAATCTTAGAAATCAAGCTAGTTAGAGCCTTATGGGTGTACTTTAAACTTAAAAAAATTGCAGCTAAGTTATTTTAAGCCCAATTATCATGAAATTCAAGCATGTTTTTGCTAAATCCTCAATAATAAAGCAAAAAAATATAAACTTGCTCTAGATTTGAAAGTTTTCTAAAATCTTAGAAATCAAGCTAGTTAGAACCTTATGGGTGCACTTTAAACTTAAAAAAATCGCAGCTAAGTTATTTTAAGCCTAATTATCATGAAATTTAAGCATGTTTTTGCTAAATCCTCAATAATATAGCAAAAAAATATAAACTTGCTCTAGACTTAAAATTTTTCTAAAATCTTAGAAATCAAGCTAGTTAGAACCTTATGGGTGCACTTTAAACTTAAAAAAATCGCAGCTAAGTTATTTTAAGCCCAATTATCATGAAATTTAAGCATGTTTTTGCTAAATCCTCAGTAATAAAGCAAAAAAATATAAACTTGCTCTAGACTTGAAATTTTTCTAAAATCTTAGAAATCAAGCTAGTTAGAGCCTTATGGGTGTATTTTAAACTTAGAAAAATCGCAGCTAAGTTATTTTAAGCCCAATTATCATGAAATTTAAGCATGTTTTTGCTAAATCCTCAGTAATAAAGCAAAAAAATATAAACTTGCTCTAGACTTGAAATTTTTCTAAAATCTTAGAAATCAAGCTAGTTAGAGTCTTATGGGTGCACTTTAAACTTAGAAAAATCGCAGCTAAGTTATTTTAAGCCCAATTATCATGAAATTTAAGCATGTTTTTGCTAAATCCTCAATAATATAGCAAAAAAATATAAACTTGCTCTAGACTTGAAAGTTTTCTAAAATCTTAGAAATCAAGCTAGTTAGAGCCTTATGGGTGCACTTTAAAATTAAAAAAATCGCAGCTAAGTTATTTTAAGCCCAATTATCATGAAATTTAAGCATGTTGTTGCTAAATCCTCAATAATAAAGTAAAAAAATATAAACTTGCTCTAGACTTGAAAGTTTTCTAAAATTTTAGAAATCAAGCTAGTTAGAGCCTTATGGGTGTATTTTAAACTTAGAAAAATCGCAGCTAAGTTATTTTAAGCCCAATTATCATGAAATTTAAGTATGTTTTTGCTAAATCCTCAATAATAAAGCAAAAAAATATAAACATGCTCTAGACTTGAAAGTTTTCTGAAATCTTAGAAATCAAGCTAGTTAGAGCCTAATGGGTGCACTTTAAACTTAAAAAAATCGCAGCTAAGTTATTTTAAGCCTAATTATCATGAAATTTAAGCATGTTTTTGCTAAATCCTCAATAATATAGCAAAAAAATATAAACTTGCTCTAGACTTGAAAGTTTTCTAAAATCTTAGAAATCAAGCTAGTTAGAACCTTATGGGTGCACTTTAAAATTAAAAAAATCGCAGCTAAGTTATTTTAAGCCCAATTATCATGAAATTTAAGCATGTTTTTGCTAAATCCTCAGTAATAAAGCAAAAAAATATAAACTTGCTCTAGACTTGAAATTTTTCTAAAATCTTAGAAATCAAGCTAGTTAGAGTCTTATGGGTGCACTTTAAACTTAAAAAAAATCGCAGCTAAGTTATTTTAAGCCTAATTATCATGAAATTTAAGCATGTTTTTTGCTAAATCCTCAATAATATAGCAAAAAAATATAAACTTGCTCTAGACTTGAAAGTTTTCTAAAATCTTAGAAATCAAGCTAGTTAGAACCTTATGGGTGCACTTTAAAATTAAAAAAATCGCAGCTAAGTTATTTTAAGCCCAATTATCATGAAATTTAAGCATGTTTTTGCTAAATCCTCAGTAATAAAGCAAAAAAATATAAACTTGCTCTAGACTTGAAATTTTTCTAAAATCTTAGAAATCAAGCTAGTTAGAGTCTTATGGGTGCACTTTAAACTTAGAAAAATCGCAGCTAAGTTATTTTAAGCCCAATTATCATGAAATTTAAGCATGTTTTTGCTAAATCCTCAATAATATAGCAAAAAAATATAAACTTGCTCTAGACTTGAAAGTTTTCCAAAATCTTAGAAATCAAGCTAGTTAGAACCTTATGGGTGCACTTTAAAATTAAAAAAATCGCAGCTAAGTTATTTTAAGCCCAATTATCATGAAATTTAAGCATGTTTTTGCTAAATCCTCAGTAATAAAGCAAAAAAATATAAACTTGCTCTAGACTTGAAAGTTTTCTAAAATTTTTGAAATCAAGCTAGTTAGAGCCTTATGGGTGCACTTAAAACTTAAAAAAATCGCAGCCAAGTTATTTCAAGTCCAATTATCATGAAATTTAAGTATGTTTTTGCTAAGTCCTCAACAATAAAGCAAAAAAATATAAATTTTCACTAGACTTGAAAGTTTTCTAAAATCTTAGAAATCAAGCTAGTTAGAGCCTTATGGGTGCACTTTAAACTTAGAAACATCGCAGCTAAGTTATTTTAAGCCCAATTATCATGAAATTTAAGCATGTTTTTGCTAAATTCTCAATAATAAAGCAAAAAAATATAAACTTGCTCTAGACTTGAAAGTTTTCTAATATCTTAGAAATCAAGCTAGTTAGAGCATTATGGGTGCACTTTAAACTTAAAAAAATCGCAGCTAAGTTATTTTAAGCCCAATTATCATGAAATTTAAGCATGTTTTTGCTAGATCCTCAATAATATAGCAAAAAAATATAAACTTGCTCTAGACTTAAAAGTTTTCTAAAATCTTAGAAATCAAGCTAGTTAGAGCCTTATGGGTGCACTTTAAACTTAGAAAAATCGCAGCTAAGTTATTTTGAGCCCAATTATCATGAAATTTAAGCATGTTTTTGCTAAATCTTTAATAATAAAGCAAAAAAATTTAAACATGCTCTAGACTTGAAAGTTTTCTGAAATCTTAGAAATCAAGCTAGTTAGAGCCTAATGGGTGCACTTTAAACTTAAAAAAATCGCAGCTAAGTTATTTTAAGCCTAATTATCATGAAATTTAAGCATGTTTTTGCTAAATCCACAATAATAAAGCAAAAAAATATAAACTTGCTCTAGACTTAAAAGTTTTTTAAAAATCTTAGAAATCAAGCTAGTTAGAACCTTATGGGTGCACTTTAAACTTAAAAAAATCGCAGCTAAGTTATTTTAAGCCCAATTATCATGAAATTTAAGCATTTTTTTGCTAAATCCTCAATAATAAAGCAAAAAAATATAAACTTGCTCTAGACTTGAAAGTTTTCTAAAATTTTAGAAATCAAGCTAGTTAGAGCATTATGGGTGCACTTAAAACTTAAAAAAATCGCAGCTAAGTTATATTAAGCCCAATTATCATGAAATTTAAGCATGTTTTTGCTAAATCCTCAATAATAAAGCAAAAAAATATAAACTTGCTCTAGACTCTCTCTCTAATTATTTGTTTGTAACTATTAGGTGTTTACTGGATCCAGAGATACTGGATCTAAGTTGATTTTTGATTTTTTTTTTCCAGAAATCTAGGAAACAACGTGTTTCCCCACTTACCATCCGCAGGCCTGGAAAAGTTACTGCACCTAAAAACCTTCAACAACCCGAATCTTCGAGAATTTCCACCGCCAGAAGACTTTCCCAGAATTCAAAGCCTCGTCTTGTCATACGCTTACCATTGCTGCGCCTTTCTACCACTCATACCGTCACACCCGCCTCCGGTAGCAAAAGACATAATCGTATTTCCCGATATCGACGATATCGATTTGAATATTTGGAATAGTTCCGTGGATCTTTGGCCGTCGCAGCGTAAGTTAATTCAAATCCTGACGTAATAAAACGAGTAAATTGGCCAAAAAGCAATTCGTCTGGCAATAAAAACAGAATAATGGTTTGTTTTTCCATTCGTTACAATGCTTTTTACGAGGAGCAGTGGCTTTTTTACAGACGGATGCAATTTGGTAGTTGGGGTAATCCCAGACAAGCAATTCGACATGGAATAATTATATTTTTTTTTCTCAGACAGTGGGTTTAATTTTTTTCTAGAAAACATCACGAAAAGTTTCGGGAGTAAGTTCGAAGCCATTTGGGAGAACATCCGATCGGATTTCACGTATCCCGGAAACTTTCCATCGTACATGGAAGAGTACATTTCCGAAGAAGACCTTCCCGTTCGTTTTCCAGGAGATAGTTTACTTACAGGTAAAAATTTTGATTGATCGTATTAATATTTTGATACATATTTTTACAGAAATCCCAGGAAAAATCCAATGCCTACCACTACCAGGACCATTTTTACCTTGCCAAGACCTTTTTGATTGGTGGACTTTGAGATGCGGCGTCTGGATAGTTTTCTTGTGCGCCCTTCTAGGAAACGGCACCGTAGTTTTTGTGCTGATATTTTCCAGGAGCAAAATGGATGTTCCTAAATTTTTGGTTTGCAATTTGGCAGCAGCGGATTTCTTTATGGGGATCTATTTAGGTAAGAATCTAGATACAAATTTCGTTGAAAATAATTCCCTTCAGTCTTCGATAAGTAAGATAAGACAGTTATGGTTTTTTTCAATATGAAAGTTACATTTAATTAATAATACGGCCTTTACCTCCGTTTTCAGCGTTATTCCTGAAAAATTGTTAAACTAAATAGAACCAAAGATAATACAAAACCACCCAATTTATCTTCTTAGTAAAATATTTGTGGACTGTAGATTCTAAGATTCTGAGATTCTAATTTCACCCAATTTTTTCACTCAAAAATTAAAATGAGTGGAAAGTTGAAATTTTGAGAACATTTTCCTAATGATTCAATGTAAAAAATTCTAAAAACTCAAAGTGATTGAGTTATTATTAATGGAGTTACGATTTTTTGAAAATAATGATGTTTTGTAAAGTAATACTCTACAAACAATTTTTTCACTCAAAAACTAAAGTGAGTGGAAAGTTGAAATTTTGAGGACTTTTTTCTAATGATTCAATATAAAAAATACTAAAAACTCAAAGCGATTGAGTTATTATTAATGAAGTTACGATTTTTTGAATATAATGATGTTTTGTAAAGTAAGACTCTACAAACAATTTTTTCACTCGAAAACTAAAGTGAGTGGTAAGTTGAAATTTTGAGGACTTTTTCCTAATGATTCAATGTAAAAAATACTAAAAACTCAAAGCGATTGAGTTATTATTAATGGAATTACGATAGTTACGAGTAGGTATGTCTGTACTGGCAAACTTTGGTACTGGTGAGCCTATTAATTTATACAATGCCTTTAAAAATGCTTTATTTTGTAGAACTTGTCTCTTATTGAAATTTTCTTGTAATTAATAAATCTTTGTCTGTCGCCCTTTAAACCGCCCTTGATTTCACCTTGTCACAAATCGCACCTTTGATACTTATAATTAAATTTTTCCCTCTCGAAATTAAAATCCAAATTTAATTTTCCAGGATTCCTGGCAGTAGTCGACGCCTCAACCCTCGGCGAATTCAGGATGTACGCGATCCCCTGGCAAATGTCGCCCGGCTGTCAATTAGCCGGATTTCTCGGAGTTCTCAGCTCCGAATTGAGCGTGTACACCCTGGCAGTGATTACTCTGGAACGTAACTACGCCATCACTCACGCTATGCACTTGAACAAACGGTTATCTCTTCGGCACGCCGGCTACATCATGATTTGCGGTTGGGGCTTCGCCATAGTGATGGCCATCATGCCGCTGTTTAGCATTTCGGATTACCGCAAGTTCGCCGTGTGTCTGCCTTTCGAGATAAAAGACGTGCCAAGTTTGACTTATGTGGTTTTTCTTATGTTAATAAACGGAGTAGCTTTTTTGATTTTGATGGGGTGCTACTTGAAAATGTACTGCGCTATTAGGGGATCGCAAGCTTGGAACTCAAACGATTCACGTATAGCTAAAAGAATGGCACTTTTAGTGTTTACAGACTTTTTGTGTTGGTCTCCTATAGCGTTTTTTTCGTTGACAGCCTCATTTGGTTTACAACTTATAAGCTTAGAACAAGCCAAAGTTTTTACAGTGTTTGTCTTACCTTTAAACTCCTGCTGCAACCCATTTCTATACGCAATACTAACAAAACAATTTAAAAAAGATTGCGTAATGATTTGCAAAGCTATAGAAGAAAGTCGAGTTACTAGAGGCATAGGACGGTGCAGGCACAGTTCCAACTTTAGCAATAGACAAACTCCGGCAAACACCAACAGCTTGGCCGATAGATCTTCAAGAGAAAATCAGAATCATCAAATTCCACAGTGCACGTGCAATACCAAGTTGTTGGGTGACAAAACCAAGAAACCAAAACCACCTCCGAGGCTGGAACGACAACCGAGTACCAGGGAATGGTTGCTGGGCAAAGCGCGATGGTTGCTGTGCGTCAGAAGACCACCTAGACGACCGCAAAACAATGCGTATACTTATCAGATTGCTGAAATTCAGCAGAAGCAACACAAAAGGGCTTCGTCGATGTCTTCTAGTGAAAATTTTAGCTCTTCAAGGTATGTATTTGTTGTGCATTTGTGAATTTTTTAGTCATGAAGCAAGATTGTTTGCAGTTTTCCCAACTTGAGAGAAATAAGTATAGCACTGTGTTGTAGTTTGCATTAACTACAACAATATTTGTTTTTGAATTTTTTTTATTAAGTTCAACAGTAAAATACAATGGCAATGAATATGACCAAAAATCAAAACTCCACTTGCTGATTAACGTACATTTCTCTCTGGAATGTTGCTGGGGCATTTTTTAATCCAAAGGGTATACGGTTAAATTTACTTTCAGGTATGTCCTGATACTTCTGGTACTGTTTCCTGACATTTCTCCTTTTTTTTTTAAATAAAATCCTTTAAATACGAAGGTCTTCTTCTTAACCTACCCAATCTTCCAACTTGACAATCTAAATTAAATTTCTTCAGAACAGCTTTATTAGAGCTGTTAGTATTTGCACTATGTTTTTGACAGTCGATTATTTCTTTACTATTTGTATTATCTGTTTTGAATTCTATTAAATTGTCAGTTATTCATCATCATCATCATTATCATCATAAGCAGCCCAGTTGCGTCCCCTTCCAATTTCCATGTCTGACGGTCTTATGCAATGTATTGCCATTCTCTCCCTGTTTTCAGATCTGATTTCTGGAATTTCTCATACTCAACAGTATTTGTAGGATGTGGAGGTGTTTCGTTTCTTTCTATCTATAATAGAAAAAAAGTTATGACCTTTCAAAGTTTTCCAAAATCTAAATCATAAGGTAGGTACCTTCTTACTAAAACGATGAAATTTCAAATTTTTCTTTGTCGAGATTTTGTATCCTAATGGTCAATCAACATACCCCAAACTACATACACTAAATTATTCTCAGATTTGAAGCCGAAATCTATGAAAAAAGGCACTCAGAAAAATTGAAAAATTGATAAATCACTCCAAATTGCTTAACACGATTTTATCTCAGGAACTATAAGTGCAAATGAGCTGAAATTTTCAGGGATTGAAGTCCTTTGAAAAAGATAAAATTCAGTGAAAGATTCAGCTTTCTATCTATAATAGAAAAAAAGTTATGACCTTTCAAAGTTTTCCAAAATCCAAATCATAAGGTAGGTATCTTCTTACTAAAACGATGAAATTTCAAATTTTTCTTTGTCGAGATTTTGTATCCTAATGGTCAATCAACATACCCCAAACTCCATCCACTAAATTATTCTCAGATTTGAAGCCGAAATCTATGAAAAAAGGCACTCAGAAAAATTGAAAAATTGATAAATCACCCCAAATTGCTTAACACGATTTTATCTCAGGAACTATAAGTGCAAATGAGTTGAAATTTTCAGGGATTGTAGTCCTTTGGAAAAGATAAAATTCAGTGAAAGATTCAGCTTTCTATCTATAATAGAAAAAAAGTTATGACCTTTCAAAGTTTTCCAAAATCCAAATCATAAGGTAGGTACTTTCTTACTAAAACGATGAAATTTCAAATTTTTCTTTGTCGAGATTTTGTATCCTAATGGTCAATCAACATACCCCAAACTCCATATTTTAAATTATTCTCAGATTTGAAGGTGATCTGTGATGTCAAATCCCTTCCCGAAACCTGCCTGTTCCTCTGGCTGATAGGAATCCATTTTTGATGTTAGCCTTTATCTGGTATATTTCCAATAAAAACATATCAAAAATTCTAGATCCGATTCTTGGAGAAACAACCCGCACAACTGCGGCATCCCCTTGCGCATGCTAGACCCAAAACGAAGAGCCTCGTCGTGGGTGGTTACCCGCAAAACCTCCCAAGACTCAAACTTGTCCAGTTCCCGAAACGATTCTTCGGGTTCCGCAACGACAGCGAGCACTAGCACATGGAGAATGTCCAGATCCAGCGCTTCCAGCGAACCATCTAGAATAATCCGGGTCAAACCAAGACTGACACGACAGTACGCTTTCCATGACGATCTGGATCCACCTGGATCGCCAGGAAGATTAACAGTAAGAGATTATTTAAAACATTTTTGCTCACTCTAACTAAATTGTTTAGGTTCGTTTTTTGACTACAATTCCTTCAGCTGCCGAAACTAGTATGCTGGAAGAAGAACCACAATCCAGTTCCGGAGTGAGTCCAGCCAAAGAAAACGAGCCGGGGCCGTTTTTCGCAATCCTGCACAGTCCTGTGCCTCCTGTGGTTACGACTCCTGTTCGAAGGCAGTCAATAATAACTTTGCACCCTGTTTCGGAGGTTTTAAACAATAATAGTGATAGTAAAGAAATTTGTATTAATGGTAATAGACGGAGTAGTTGTGGTAATAGTATAGTAGGCAATAGTGGTACTAGTGGTACTAGTCGTTTGGTTGGCCAATCGGAACGGCCGGGGCCTTCCAGCTGACAATAGGAGTATTTAATGTAAAATTTCGTGGTGCTGAAACTGTATTTTTGCAAGGTGATACCTATACACTTATTTATTGTCTGATGATGTATTTATTTGAATGTTATTTATTTTGAGATTTATAGAGGGTATTTTCATAGATTATTAGTGTAATATTGCTAGAAGTTTCTTTGAAAATCAATTGCTTGAATCATATTTTCACAATATTGTCACAACTGCCCGCTTTACGGGGCTGACATGGGGGGTTTGTAGCTTTGGGGGTTGATGGAGAGAAACTTGCTCAGGTTATATAAAGATATAGATATATATTTTCCCAAATATGCCCTTACATGTACGCTAATCCTATGAGATGCATGACCTTTCGAACACTGGGGTCCTTATAGGGAGCCACACGTCAATGCTGCTTGGAGGACTGTAGATTAGTTTATCGTCACCCTTATGCCTTGTCCAGAGGGGCTTTCCCAATGAGAGGTAATTGCACTGGACAACGATAAGGCTGAAGATACCCAGAGAGGCTTTCCCAACGAGAGGTACTTGCACTGGGGAGACTTAATTCCAGAGGGGCTTTTCCAACGAGAGGTACTTGCACTGGTTTAAGTCTGCCTTTGCTGCGGCTTGCAGCGCAATTTATATTAATTTATTGCTGAATTGCAATAAACATCCGATCGAATCGGCAATTAAATTGATAGGGTTAAATACCGGGTCCTCCTTTCCCAAGCAGCTAGTTGACAATATCATCAATTTCCTAGATATAGGTACTTAACAATTTTTCCTTATTTTCACTAAATTATAACTCTAACATTATATTACTGCTCTATAAATGTCCAAAATAAGAAAAAAGTTTCAAGCAATTGCTTTGAAGAGATTTTCATACATATAGCATAAGTTTTTGTACATAATAGTTTTGTATTTATTTATTTATTTATTTTTTTCTATTTTAGTATAAATAAATAAAAAAGCTTCTAAGCTAAAAGTAATAAATAAAAGACTTTACGGTGATAATACTGGTAATATTAAAAGACTATTTCCTGAAAATAATATATAATATTGTATAAATTAAGTAAAGTTCAATATATTATTGTAGAAGAAAAAAGTTTCAATACTTATAGTTAATAAAAATAAATAAATTTAACAGAAATTACCTGAGGAAATTACATATAATTTCAATACCGATATAGTTTTTTTTTTTTCTGTGAAATGACAAACAATAAGATCACAATCAGAAAATGTATTGAAAATGCAAAATATCGATATGCTATATTGTCCGTCGTTTTTAATCTGACACTTTCCGTATGAGGAGCGAGGGGGTGAAGTATATGGAAAAAACAGAGTGATATCAGGTGACAAATGGCGTTCCAATGTAAGGTATCAGATTAAAATCGACGGACTTTACTCTGTTTTTTAATCCCAGGGTACAATAAATGTGTCAGAATGCATTGGCGTGCCTGCATAATAAGAAAAATTAAAGTACCTACTATTGAGGTGATCTGTGTTTTGATATGACTACAGGCATATTAGAATTGTTGAAATCTTTTACCTACGCCTATGGATAGTAAGTATAATTCACAAAAATACGTCTGATGTAACTCGAAAACTCATTGTTTGGCAAGAGGATTATTCAAGTGGATGACTGATATGGGTAGCGAAAAGTTTGTAAAAGTTCTATATGTGTGTACGAATGAGGCTATTGAAAGTGCTGGGTAACTCTGGGAAATAAACTATAGTGATGAAAATGGTTTTCTAGTTTTCTTCAAACATCTCCTAGATGTTTCAAAGTTGTAAGTGAAAAATTCCAGATGGTTTTCTGGTCGTCCTGAACTAAGGATATTGTTCGTAATCCAAATTGTCCAAGAATTTTGGAAAAATCCGAGCAAATTGGGAAATTTTTATGCAAAGTTTTCTTTACTTTGGTCAAATTTTTACATTAAGGCAGCGTTTATGGCCGCCATGTGATTGGTTGATTTTTCGAAACTTGTTTTAAGGTCTTCAAAAAAGCGGCACATCAGAATTGGCTCAAATTTGGCATAAACATTATTTGATCGATTATCTACAATTCCTTACAGTGACTCTATACAAGACAGTGGCGACAATACCGTCTAAGCTCCGCCCACCCGCCATGTTTTGTCGAACTCATTTAATAATGTATTTGGTCTTTATTTTCTTTCTGTTCTAATTTTTTGTCACAAAATAGTTAATAACAGACACAAATAACAAAAACAAAAATATATAAACACAAAATTGCATAAATCTCCATAGGATCAAATGGTAAATACAAATAACTTTCGATAAAACAAGGCGGATATTCTGTAGCCAATCAAAAATGAGTCCCTGTATTGTCGCTACTGTCTTGTATAGAGGCACTGTACAATTCCTTATTTTGGTTTTTCGATATCCAGCCTTTTTTTTAAATTCAAAAATCATGTTCGCAACCACCAAAACAATTAAATGTGTTGGTGGTTGCATATTTGCATGTTTATCAAGCTATATAATATCCACTTATACTTTAATATACTATTATGTGTAGAGTGATAATCTGAGAGAGTGACGCAGTCGTCATTTTCAAAAACTAAATTTAAACATGGCGGCCATTAACGCGGCCCAAGAATCGTAAACTCTACAGGATTGCTCAATCGGCCAAGAATCGTAAACTCTACAGGATTGCTCAATCCCATAAGACAAACGTTCATAAAAACATCGAAGATGGCGGTATGCGAATGACGTCACGCAGTCCTTGATCGGTTTGTGTTTTTTATGACAGTGCACTATCCTTGCATTTTCAAACGTGAAAAATTGTTATTTTGAGGTTATTTCCTTTGAAAACAGTATTTTGTAATTAATTTATTGATTTTAAAATTAGCAGACTTCAAAAGCTTGTGTCCTTGAGGCTTGAGTGGTTGGCTAATTGCTAATTAGAAAGACGAGTTTGTTTGCTTTTGTTTATCAATTAGCCAAACATATTGCCAAAAAGTCAAAAAAACGAAGGGCTGGAGTCAAGCTGGCCCCCGGATTCGTTTCAATGTTTTTTTTGTGTATGAAAATGAGCACAATTCGCATAAATACTGGCACAATTGAGCACAAAACGGGCACAATTGACTACAGTTGAGAAACAGTAGAAAACCAAATGTGGAGTGCCGAGCCGGTTTAATTTTTGCATTTCAAAATCAAAATATAAGCGAAACGGGGTTGCAATAGTGTGCTTCATTTTTTACTGACCCTACCTAGGTACTTCTCAATTATTATTCATTAATTTAATAGGTACTAGAACGATTTAATATGGACATTCAAAGTGAGCTTATTTCACAAAGTCAAATAGTGATACCTAATTTAGATTCTCATAATCATATTCCAGAAAAACATTGCAAGTTTCCCATATTTTCCATGCGTTTTCATAGTAAACGCGCCAGTAAAGGAATTTATTTACATATTTGAAACTTACAACTAAGTAGATATTTGATTCACAAAAAAAAAGCAATACAAATGCTTGACTAGGAAATACTAACTAGCAATACACACAAATAAAAGAGCGATGTCCTGATACAACAAATCCAGTATTATAAAACCAGAAAATGCTTTGGGTTTTCGCGAGTATTTTCAGCCACGAGTCTTTTATGCTTACACACATTAAATGAAACTTTAAATTTACTCTTATAACACATAAATCCGAATTTACGATAAAATAGTTGTCAGCACAAACTAAACATCATTCGTATCAGCGGCCATCTTGAAAATCCGGCATGCGCGTGACGTCACAGCAATTGTGAACAAATTTAGCCGATTGAGCAAGGCAATCCTGTAGAGTTTACGATTCTTGGGTGTTGCCAACATAGTTACTAAATTTTTGACTTGGGGAATTATCTTTAAAAAAAAACAGACTTTATTTGTATCCGATTTTGATATTTTATCGAGACATTTTTTCCGCACTAATTTTCCGTACAAAACACTAAATGCATACATACACTAAGGGCCGGTACTTTTGCTCTCGATTAACGAATTTGATACGTTGTCAAAGTTTTGCATGGGCCAAGGTCTATAAGCCTAATGTGGTTAGAGCACATTCTAAGCCCTGATTATTTTTAACGGCTGTTAAATGACAGCAAAAGTACCGGCACTTATAGTGTATACACGGGTACAATACAATCACATGTAAACGCTCGCGCAAGTTACTCTGGGAAGTTCTATCGCAATTTACTATCCCTTGTAAACCACGCTTTATGGAGATTGATTTGGCAACGCTTAACTAATAGCGAATTCTATTAAAATTAATGCAGGAAAAAAAATATATATTTTTCTCGCTCTCTTATACAAGCTGATAGAAAAAGACACGAATATACTCAGTCCGCACAAACTCTTCCAATAGAATTCACAATAAGTTGTGACGTAAACCATTTAAACTCAAAGAATAATCATTCATAGGCAGAGCCGTTGATAAAGTACGTACATTCTTAGGACATCATATTTGGCAAGGACTTTTTAAATGAGATTCCTAAATATAAATTTTGTGCAAGTACCCTATTGTTTTGCAACGTGGCAACGTTGCCCTCCTACAAATTATTTGACTTGAGACTTGACACTTTGACACTGACTGATAAGTGTCAAAATAATAAACATGGCTGTTTAATGTTTACAAAATTTTTAATAATATATCTGGGTTAATGTTTATACTACTAACTTTTTTGCAAATAAACCGTTTTAATTTAAACTAATCAATAAGAAATATATAAAATCTAAGTTCCAAACTATTGGAATTTCATTTTATTCAAACATGACAGAAGCGGAAAAGCCAAATGCCAGCAGTGCCGAAGGAAATGAAAAAGAACAACAGGAAAGCATAAGCAAAAATATTGTAATTTTGAAATCTCTTTGCACGACAAACTCAGACTATTTTTCGAAAGATAGCAGCGAAAATGGCCAGAGACTTTACATTTCCTTTCTAGCCATAATAGACTCAGTAGACGCCCTATATCCGAAAATACTAGAAATTGAAAAACGATTAGACGAGTTCGATTTCGATGCCAAAACTCCAGGAAACGGTTACCGGAGCTTTATCAATGTATTTAATTTAGCTATTAAATACGCTATAGACCTAAATCAGAAGATTATGTGGCGTAGAACTAGTGTTTTATTTAGAAAAACAGTATTAACAAAGTAAGAATCAATTAGGTATTACAGAGATTATAATAATCTATTTTCTTTTGTAGAGAAATCGAATCATGTTCCCATCTAATGTCAAGCCTAGACACATGTTTTAAACATCTACAAACCCTTATGTCCTGGAGTCATAATGGTAGCTTATTTGTAGAAGACCGGCCTTTGGAAGATTTAATTTCAGTTTGTAAAGATGTCAATCAATATTGCTTTTATGGAAGATGTTTAGGTTTTCAAGTAAATGCATCATGTTATTTGATTTCCAAAACTCTAACGGTTTGATTGTAGTTTTGCGATTCTCTTAAAAATGTTTTACAATTTATTGCCTTGTCTATGGCAATATTTTCTGAAGCTTACTATAGCCAAGGTAAATTTGAAAACTTATAAAAATTTCACTTTTTAAAGAAGATTATTTTTAGGTTCATTAATTTCCAAAGCAACAAATTCAGTCATGACTACAACAAAATACATAACAGACCCAGAACAAAGGGCCAAAAGAATAGTGAACATTTCCCAAAATGCTGATGTGGATTTTTGCAAATCTTTTTGGTTTTTGTCGGAGAGTGAATTAATGAATCAGTTGCCTTCAGTAGTCTCACCCAATGTTGCTGTATGCAAAGTTATAAGTATAGCCCCAGAACCTTTAAGTTTAAATGTGGATGGTACTGATATTGAGATACCTGTGCCTACGTCTTATTTAGGTAAATATTCAGGTGATATGATGGTATTTTTGAGAAATAGTAAAAGTTAAATGAGTTGTCGAAAAAGTGCTTAACAAAAATTTCATGCAGAATTCAATGGAAAAAAAAAATTCATAATTTTACTTATGAGTTTCATATCAACTTTCGGCTTGTTTGAAATGATCAAAAGATTCCAATCAATACTTAATTCCTGAAAATTGCAAGTTGCTATGATGGCTTGAAGTTTTTTTTGGGAACCATCATAGGTGATTTTATAGGAATTTCATGACTTTTTTATACTTTCATTATGAGTTTCATATCAACTTCCAACTTGTTTTGGATGATGAGAAAACTTCAATGAATCTTGAAAGTTTCAACTCTCTATGATGGCTCAAAGTATTTTTCAGGGACCCTCATAAGTGATTTTTTATGAATTATATGCCTTTTTAAACTTCAATAAGAGAAAAAATTCTTAGCTTTTGTTGTGAGTTTCATATGAACTGCCAACTTGTTTTGGATGATAAGAAAACTTCAATAAATAAATCCTGGAAGTTTGGTGGCTTAAAGTATTTTTCAAAGACCCTCATAAGCTCGCTTTTTAAAATAGCAGAGGGAGTTTACAGATTCTAAAGCTTCAGAACAATCTAAAAACTTTATGATTTATGAATAAATCTTTAAAAGTAAAATATCTTTCAGGACCCAAACCAATCCAAGTCCGTCTAATAAGTTACGAGATGCGCGAAGGCATGCTAGGAACGAAAAACAAAACTCCTCTACAACCACCCTCTAATGGCCTCATAGTGCATTGTCACGGGGGCGGATTCGTATCTCAGTCTTCCAAATCTCATGAAGGTTACCTCAGAGATTGGGCCAAACGCCTAAACGTTCCTATTGTCAGTATTGACTACAGTTTAGCTCCAGAGGCACCATTTCCTAGAGCACACGAAGAAATTTTTTACGCTTATTGTTGGGTGTTGAAGAATCATAGTTTTTTAGGGAGTAATGGTAATAGTTTTTAATTTTTTTTTGTCAATCGATTAGTTAATTGGATTATTGTTTCAAAAGGAGAAAGTATTGTGGCTGTAGGTGATTCAGCAGGAGCTAACTTACTATTATCAGCCACTTTGAAATGTATCAATACAGGTGTGCCAACTCCGCATGGGATTTTGGCTGCTTATGTGCCTACTTTAGTGAAATTTGCCCCATCACCTGCTAGATTATTATGTATGATGGATCCATTGTTGCCTTTTGGATTTTTGATGAGATGTTTAAATGGTTAGATTAAGTTAATAATGCTGAAAACAATTGAATTAAATTGTGTTTTTTTTTAGCTTATGCGTCAGCAGAAAAACCTGCAACAGTGCCTGATTATTACAATTCCGATACGGAAAGTTTCGAAGAAATTTCTGAGTCAGATTTGGCTGAATTGCAAGCTCACAAATCTCCAGTGTCTGAGGCCTCTGATACTTTGACATATGGTTCTTTGAATTCGAATTTGGACGAGCTGGCTGAAAAAGATGTTACGTCTGCGGAAATTGAAAAAAGCCAAAAGTACATGGCTGATATAGTACACAAATATGTACTAGGTAGGGATTACTTATGGTCTATGTTTTCGAGTAAATACTATAATTCTCCGAGTAAGAGAGGAGGTACGGTGATGATTTTCAATTTGCTGTGGGCATGCTTCAAAACAATGCTTTTCATGTATAAAGTAATAATTTCATTTCATTTATACAGGGTGGGCAATACTGGCATACGCAAAAATCCATTTCAAAAGCCCATATTGCCAAATATCAATCCAAAATCTAAAATTATTCATATTTTTGTTGTCTATATTAAACGGAATAGAAAACTAGTAAATAATTAATTGAAACCACATTAAAATCCTAATTAAAGTGAGTAAAATTGTTACCGGCTCTCGTGAAAGATTTTCTACATTACACTCTGTATCTTCATACAGTGGCTTATTCTTGTTGGGTCAAATTCCAGTAGGTAAAATTGTTTTCTATTACCGGCTCTCGTGAAAGATTTTCTACATTTAGAGCCGAGGATAATCAAATATTGATCAGCCTGTATCCTTACACAGTGGTGGAATTATTTTCGATTACTAGTTTTCGTGAAAGATTTCCTACAAGAGCCAGGAATAATAAAATATTGATCACGCTGTATCTTCATACAGTGGCTTATTTTTGTTGGGTCAAATTCCAGTAGGTAAAATTGTTTTCTATTACCAGCTCTCGTGAAAGATTTTCTACATTTAGAGCCGAGGATAATCAAATATTGATCGCCCTGTATCTTTACACAGTGGTGGAATTATTTTCGATTACCAGTTTTCGTGAAAGATTTCCTACAAGAGCCAGGAATAATAAAATATTGATCACTCTGTATTTTCATACAGTGGCTTATTTTTGTTGGGTCCAATTCCAGTAGGTAAAATTGTTTTCTATTACTGGCTCCCGTGAAAGATTTTCTATATTAAGGGCCGAGGATAATCAAATATTGATCACCAAGTATCTTTACACAGTGGTGGAATTATTTTCGATTACCAGTTTTCGTGAAAGATTTCCTACAAGAGCCAGGAATAATAAAATATTGATCACTCTGTATCTTCATACAGTGGCTTATTTTTGTTGGGTCAAATTCCAGTAGGTAAAATTGTTCTATTACCGGCTCTCGTGAAAGATTTTCTACATTTAGAGCCGAGGATAATCAAATATTGATCACCCTGTATCTTTACACAGTGGTGGAATTATTTTCAATTACCAGTTTTCGTGAAAGATTTCCTACAAGAGCCATGAATAATAAAATATTGATCACTCTGTATCTTCATACAGTGGCTTATTTTTGTTGGGTCAAATTCCAGTAGGTAAAATTGTTTTCTATTACCAGCTCTCGTGAAAGATTTTCTACATTTAGAGCCGAGGATAATCAAATATTGATCGCCCTGTATCTTTACACAGTGGTGGAATTATTTTCGATTACCAGTTTTCGTGAAAGATTTCCTACAAGAGCCAGGAATAATAAAATATTGATCACTCTGTATTTTCATACAGTGGCTTATTTTTGTTGGGTCAAATTCCAGTAGGTAAAATTGTTTTCTATTACCGGCTCTCATGAAAGATTTTCTACATTAAGGGCTGAGGATAATCAAATATTGATCACCCCGTATCTTTATACAGTGGTGGAATTGTTTTCGATTACCAGCTTTCGTGAAAGATTTCCTACAAGAGCCAGGAATAATAAAATATTGATCATCCTGTATTTTTATATAGTGGTAGAATTGGTATAGTTGGCGCCAAAATTTACTTGCAGCTCTGTTCTCAGGTTCAAAATTAAAACTGAACACAAAAACCCTACAAAAGCCCAATAGGACTTTTCAAAAACTCAGGTTTTTGCCAACCTTGCATTTATAGATTGTTCCATTTTAGTTGTTGTTGCCTGTTAGCTTTTAATTAATTGACCATTTTTGCCTTCCTAAGGAGAATTAAATATTTCCAAAACTATTCTGATCCATCTAATTAACTAGAATCTGATACCGAAACTGAAGGAACCAAAACCGAAATGGAAACAACGTCATCCTCAAATGCTGAAAATTCATTTCAAAATCGCCTGTATGGTTTTGTCAGCACAATAAAAGGCCACTTTAGTAAAATGCTGGGCGATAGAGGCCTAAGTGGAGCTGAAAAAGTGCTGGAAATTGACAACACTGAAAAGTTGTGGGAGGAAATGTCCGTTCCGGTGCAAGATAGTCCTTATATTAGTCCTTATTGTGCTTCTGATGATGACTTAAAGAAATTTCCTCCTACCAAGATTTTGGTAAGAGGACTTGTATATTATACAAGAGATTTTTTGATGTTTGAAATATTTTTGTTTGCAGACTGTCCAACTTGATCCTTGTTTGGATGATTGCGTTATGTTTGCTAGACGACTTAAGGCAGTTGGTAATAATGTCACTTTGGATATTCTTGAAGGACTTCCTCATGGATTTTTGAATTTTTCTTTGGTAAGTAAAGTAGCAGTAAATATGTAAAAAAGTAATATACAATCAAAACTTTAGATATCAAAAGATGCCCATGAAGGTTCAAAACTGTGCGTCGAACGCATGAAAGAGCTCCTAAATTTTGACAGGCCTAAATAACTTTTTATTTCAGTTGCTATCACCAAAAAGTGCAATAATAATAATTATATTGAATGGTTGTTCATGGCATAGGTATTATATAAATTTATTTTTATACAAATATTTATTTGATTTGTTAATACTAATAATAAGGAATCTCGGTGAGAAAAAAACACAATTATTCTGCTTCAAACTTTATTTTTATTGTGTGACACAGTATTAAGCTTGGAAAGTAGTTTATTATACATTAGTAACATTCTGATAACAATAATAAAGGTCTGGTTCTATTTTATTTTTGTCTAATTAAAATATCACTTCCACGTATGTCCACAATATTGTTTGTCCATAGTATTCAATTTATCCTCCTAAAAGTTGTTTTGATTAAAAATTGCAATTTGATTTACATAATTATTTTTACCCTTTCGTCTCTTTTGTAGCATTTCATGTAAGGTTCCCTTGTATAGTTATTCATAGTGGCGATGTAGCAAGGCAATGAAACAGTAACGTTTTTGGACCAATAAATAATTTGAGTCGGTTCTGGAGTGTGGGGGTAAGAGTTGGAAGTGGTCATGGAGCACTTGGCAAATATTGCCAGAAATATTAAGTTGCTATTTGGGATTTTTTTAACTACATAAGGCCTAGAATAATACATTGTTTATTAGGTCAAAATTCCAAAATTCTTACCAGTTACAATAAAATTTGGTTGTGTCATTGTTGTAAAAACTAGACCTGAATCCATCTTGTAAAGTGAAAAGCCAAAATTCTCGGTCGCAAGGTGTTGGTACGGTTTTTTTGACTGCCAATCTTTTAAAATTTTCAGTTTCTTCCTTCAAAACTTGCTCGTTTGCTGCGTAAACATAACTTAAAGCCCACTCAAAAATTTGCAGCAAATTTTGTAATATCACTGCAAAAAGATTCTTAATTTTAGTTGAACTGTTTTTCTTTTTGATGCAACTCATGTCTTCGGGATCTGGAGCTTCGGGCGGGCTGAATTGACATGTTGCCTGGTAATCGAACATTCTGGTTGATTCAAAAACCTTTTCTTTGACTAGATAGTACATAATGTCAGGGCGAATGTCGCCTATGAAACGGCCGGTGTATTCGATTTCATCACTCAATATGATGTAGGCGTTATTGTCGAGTATGAAACAATTCAAATAGTCTGATTCGCAGGTGATTTTCTTGTCGCCTTTACGTCCTCTAGACTAGAAATTAATGCGATATTAGCTTTATTTGGTAGGCAAGTGATCATTCACTTACTTTTGTCGTAATACTGTTATACAATTTGTACATTGCCTGGTGATTAAATTCCAAACCAACTACAGCCACAGGTATTTTCATGTTATTCTTCTCAACAAAAATTGCCTTGGTTCCTCTTATCATGGTGTTATTTTCATAGCCTGATGTTTAAAATCTAATTTAATTCTCGATAACAAAAATAATCATCCACAATAATACCTGATATTTCAAATGGCACAGAATAAATGAACATATCTTCGTTTTTGAAATTTTCTTCCACAGTTCTTTGGTACCAATCTTCGTCTATTGATCTATCGTTAGCCTGTTCTTCTTCTCCGTAGATGTTTTGGTAAATCGCTGAATTAAATATTTTCCATTTGGTCAAGCCTGAACTTGTAGAAACGAAAACTTTGTGCACGTAATAAGGCTCTACAAACCTATCATCACGAGGTATTGGTTTTTCAAACCAGGCAGTTTTATTTAGGTCAAACATAAGCTCATAGTATAAAGGAGTTCCTGGAAGTTAACTGAGTTTTTAATTTGCAAATTTAAAAACTAAAAACTTAACTGTAATCAGGTTGATAATAGGCATGCTCGATTCTTTCCAAAGGTCTCATGTGTTCGCAATTTTTGCAATAAATCCTATTGAATTAATTATAATTTTTGTATTGATATTAAAATCACTTACCATTCGGGATGTACGGCCCAATTTTCCAGATTCAAAAGAAACTTTGGATCGGGGTCGTGTAATGAACCGGCTTGAGTTTTATTCACTTTTACGTGCCCGTATTTTTCGGGTAAGACTATGCATAAGGTGAAAGGGCCTATTTCGGTGTAATAGTAATTACTTGTTGTACGTATGATGCGTTTCTAAAAATAATTAAATAAATAATTGTTTAATTAAAGTAAAATCTTATTTACCATATCGTCCAAAGTATGTTTGATGTTTAGCTTTGCCTGATTTCCGATTCTTTTAAGCATACGTTCTCGAAGCTATAAATCAATTACTATTAAATACCAAATTAATTTAATTATTTGGAACTTACTTTTACAATATCGTCACCAAATATTCGCGGTTCGTTGTTGTCGTCTAATATTTCAGTTTCCAAAATGTCCACTCTATTGAAAGTTGGTTTTAGGATATATTCGAACTAAAAATTTATTCAAATTAGGACCAATTTATCTAGTTTGGCTGTCATGATAATTATTAGTTAGCTGACAGCTTAACTGAATAACCGTCCACTGATAAACCGGTCTTTAGTTCGTCAATATACAGGGTGTTACAAATTCTCGAGTTATGGGAATCTCAGTAATTGTAAGAGATTCAGGGTCTGTTAATTTTTTCATATTTTTTGAATTTTGACTTTTCCAATCGATAAAGTGAAAAGACGTAGTTTTCCTATTCCTGGCTCCCATATTTTGACTATTTTTCTGAATTTTCTTTCTTTAAAGAAGCTCAGAAGATATTGAAGATTCAAGAGCTAGGAATAGACAAAAATTGAGACAAAGAAATTGAGAAATACCCAGATGACACAAACATATTGCAGAAATATTCATGGCATATTTCATGGGAATATAAAGATATCCGATGCATATGCCATGAAGATCTTTTCATGTGACAGGAATATCCAAGACATATGCTTAAGTCACCAGTAATGGGGGCACCTGAGCCTGAGGAAGGACCCCGTGATATTTGGATGAAATTTAAATATGTTATTAAAAGTGCCGTAAACAAAATTTTTTACCATGGGCGCAACCTTGTATATATGAGAGGTGACGCGGTATCAGCTGTCAAATATTGGAATTTCATATTCAAAAGCAAGGTAACTATGGCAGATTTTGATGAAGCAAGTATAGATTCCTACTAAGTCGAATAGTCCAGGAGGTGGCGCCAAAAACATGCAAGAGTTTTCGCAAGGCGGATATTTTCAAAATAGGTCCTACTTTAGTGCTAGAATGCTAGTGTACAGTCAGCACTCACAGTTCCGGGACAGCTGGCTCTGGGACGCGGGCAAAGTTGTAATTTTAAGAAGCATCTAAACTGTTTTCTCAAAGCTCAAAATTTATAGAAATTTTGCACATTATCTGTTTGAAGGTCACAGATAACGTATGTAAATCGTCAGACGTCTAGTTCGTTGCAAAAAGGGGGTCAGACGTCCTCAAAGTTTTTATTTTATGGCATTTTCTTCAAATATATTTGTCAAATACCTGCAAAAATATATTTTGACAGGACACCGAAGAAAATGCCATAAAATAAAAACTTTGAGGACGTCTGACCCCCTTTTTGCAACGAACTAGACGTCTGACGATTTACATACGTTATCTGTGACCTTCAAACAGATAATGTGCAAAATTTCTATAAATTTTGAGCTTTGAGAAAACAGTTTAGATGCTTCTTAAAATTACAACTTTGCCCGCGTCCCAGAGCCAGCTGTCCCGGAACTGTGAGTGCTGACTGTACACTAGCATTCTAACACTAAAGTACGACCTATTTTGAAAATATCCGCCTTGCGAAAACTCTTGCATGTTTTTGACGCCAGCTCCCCAACTAGAACAAGGTATATCGAAAAATGCCAATCATTTTGACATTTTTCAAAACCCTGCCAAATAGCAGCACTCATATTTTTCAGTTCTCAATATTTTATAATGTGTCATTTGACAGTTTTAGTCTATATCAATCCTGAGTTGGAAACTTGGAAAAAAAATGACACAACTGACAAAACCTGTCATTCATTTTAGTAGGAAAAAAGATTCGTGTCTGGTTCTTTTTTGTTTCAAGGTAGTTTATTGGTAATAAAACATTAAGCAAAGCTCATAGACTTCAAATTTAGACAGCTGTCAAAAGCTGAAATCTGTGTATAATAATAAATAAGCATAACTTAAATAATTGGAACAAAACTATAGTTCAGTTTTTTTTCTTCAATTAAAGCTGATGTCAGATTCTGACAGCTGTCAAAATTTGATGTCTATGAGTTTTGTTTAATGATTTATCACCAATAAACTACCTTCAAACAAATAAGGGCCACAAAGGGAATCAAAATTAAAAATGAAATCCTATTTTTGGCTCTGGAAAATTTTCAAAATCTTAACGTGTCTTAAGCAATTGTCCATATCTTTGTTTAATTTTGAGCAAATTGAAATAAATTATATATCATTGAAAAAAGCAATAAATTCTCTATAAATCCGTTTTAAATTGAGTTTGATAGCTTAAATACTTTCTGAGCCATTCAGCCGCAAAGTTGGACATTTTTTCAAAAAATTCCCAAACTGTTGCTCCAACCCTCCTTTGGTGAACAAGAAATTGTGTAGCTCCAATGTAATCCACCCTGTATCTCCTATAATTACTGAAATCGCCATATTAGTTCGCACACTTGTAACACCCTGTATAGTTCAAAAGTTAAGATAATTCTTAACAAGTTTCTTGCCTCTGTACGATGATCGGGATGCATCAAAATGTACCCATTGTTTGTAATTATAAATGCGTAACCGTTTACACCAATCTAAAAATAAATTAAATTAATTTGGAATTGATTTTTAATCAATACTTACTTTGTCGTGTGGAATTCTTGCTCTAAATGAACTAATGGGAACGTCAACTCCGGCTACTCCAATAATGTTGTACTGAAAAGAAACGAAATTAGAGGTTTGTATTCTACATACTGCTACACTAAAAAGTGTCTAAATTGGACCAGCCTGTACATAGTCAAACACGATTTCGATTTCTAGACAAATCAATAATTCCTTTATTAATTAAAACAAATCTAAGGCTCTTTTGGCTCCAAAATTCAGTTATGATTTTCCTTCTATTCTAAACTCACTGTTTTCGAATTCTCAAAAATCATCCAACTATAAAAACCACAAAACATTTACCTCATCTTCTCTACGACCATAGACCGGCAACGAAACCGTCGTCATATACTTGTAATTATCTTTCTCCTCGTATTTCTCATACTCGTGAGTTTCTTGCAGCAGCATGTGATTTAAACTGGAATGCCTCAACTGTAATCTATCCACTCGTCTTTTAACGTGATCCAAAAATACCTCACGTTGCCTTATACCTTCGAATTTGGTCCACAACCAATTCGACAACCTCCTATCGGCCAAATCCACATACAAGTAACTCCATATGGGAGTTTGTTTGTCGTGGTAGCAAAAGTTTATAGGCCTGGACATTACTTTGAGGTATTTGAGGATTTTCTCTCTTATGTCTGGCCTAATGGTTACGTTGACGTAATAGCCCATGTTTGAGCAGGCTATAAACTCCATTTGCTTTTCGTCCTCTTTTTCTGTGCTTAAGGAGTAAGTGAAAATCCTTACTGGGAAATTTTGCATCCAGTTGGATTCGTTAAAAATGCTTACGTTGTACGGATAGTCTAGGCCTTCTGTTATCAGCATTATTGCTTGATTACAATTTGCACCTAAAATATTTTTGAAATAATAATATGTATGTTTTTTTTGGGAGGGTAATATTAGATATTACTTAAGTTTGTTCGACGAAAATGGGCAAGAATCTCAAAGGCTTTTTTTAATCCTATTGAAATGTCTGCAGCGTAAATCATATCGTATGTGGGTAAATGTTCTCTTAAAAGTCTCAAATTTTCTTCGTTAGCCTAGAAAAATATGTCATAATTTTGCACAAGTCAAACCAAATTTTGCACCACCTCCTCCAACTAGAGAGACTACAGTAGGTTTACAAATTTGTCATGAAATTCCTGTCAAATCATCTATGAGGGTTCCTGAAAAATAGTTCAAGACATCACACCGATTTGAAACTTTCAGGATCTATTGATTGATGGTTCTGCATCATTCATAACAAGTTGAAAGTTAATATGAAACTCACAACTAAAGTTACAAACTTCTTCTCTCATTGATGTTTAAAAAAGTTATAGAATTCTTATAAAATCACTTATGGGGGTCTCTGAAAAATACTTCAGGCCATCACAGCAACTTTCAGGATTTGATAATTAAAGTATTTTTAGTGTACCAAAATAATTCGGAAGTTGATATGAAATTCACAACTGAAGTTAAGAATTTTTTTTTTACTTCAAGACATCATAGCGACATGAAACTTCCAGGATTTATTAATTGAAATTTTTTTTTGTCCAAAACAACCGGAAGTTGATGTGAAACTCACAATTAAAGTTAGGAATTTTAACTCTAATTGATGTTTGAAAAAGTCATAATGGCTTTTGGTATAGAGATAGTTGAATACGCAGGCCATGTGCATTTGTGTCCCAATGCAAAAATATTCCATATACCTTATCAAATATAAGAAAATCATTCACTAAAACACAACAATCTTGAAGATAATCTCAAGGAATTTCATCAACAAGAGTATACAAATTAAAGTGGAGAACTACTGCAAACCTATTGCAATAGTATTTTAGATTATTGTAATGATATTGTCAACTATTGCGAGCATATTGTAGATTATTGTGAGAGTATTGCAGTCTATTTTGAGAGTATTGTAGATAATTGCAAGAGTATTGTGGAACATTGCAAATTATTGTAGACTACTGCAAAGTATTGTGCACTATTGCAAGGTATTGCATTCTATTGCAAAGTATTGTGAGCTATTGAGAAATTACTGTCGCAATACTTTATCGAAATTCGTACATATATTGTGGCCAGTGAAATACCCCTCGAAAATTCCTATAAAATCACATTAGGGTTCCTGAAAAATACTTCCAGACATCATAGCGACTTGAAACTTTCAGGATTTATTAATTGAAGTTTTTTAATAATTGTTGAAAACAAGCCGGAAGTTGATATGAAACTCACAACTAAAGATGAGAATTTTTTCTCTCATTGATGTTTGAAAAAGTCATGAAATTCCTATAAAATCACCTATGAGGGTTCCTGAAAAATACTTCAAGACATCATAGCGACATGAAACTTCCAGGATTTATTAATTGAAGTTTTTTCATTGTTCAAAACAAGCCGGAAGTTGATATGAGACTCACAACTAAAGTTAGGATTTTTTTTACTTATTGATGTTTGAAAAATTCATAAAATTCCTGTAAAATCACATATAAGGGTTCCTGAAAAATACTTCCAGACATCATAGCGACTTGAAACTTTCAGGACTTATTATTTGAAGTTTTTCCATTGTCCAAAACAAGCTGGAAGTTGATATGAGACTCACAACTAATGTTAGGAATTTTTTCACTCATTGATGACGTTTGAAAAATTCATAAAATTCCTACAAAATCACATAAGGGTTCCTGAAAAATACTTCAAGCCATCACAGCGACTCAAAACTTTCACGATCTATGAATTGGTGGTTTTTAATTCTCCAAAACAACCTGGAAGTTGATATGAAACTCGCAGCTAAAGTTAAGGACTGTTTCTCTTAATGATGTTTGAAAAAGTCAAAAAATTCCTATAAAATCAGGTATGAGGGTTCTTGAAAAATACGTCCAGACATCATAGCGACTTGAAACTTTCAGAACTTATTATTTGAAGTTTTTTCATTGTCCAGAACAAACTGGAAGTTGATATGAAACTCACAAATAATGTTAGGATTTTTTTCACTCATTGATTTTTGAAAATTTTATAAAATTCCTGTAAAACCATATACACAGTGTGTAAAAAGTCCCGGAACAGTCAATTATTTCGAAAATGGTGCACAATATAAAAAAACTTCCTGTATAAAAGTTAAAGGTCTTAATAAAATCTATTGAAATAGGATTTTTGTAATTATACAGGGTGGCCCAAAAAACAATCCAAAATGTAGGTAATATCGTACTTATCGTATTTATGTCCTTCAACTCGAATTATTTCTGAAACTAATGGGTTTAGCCATATGACATGTTTCATAATTGTTGTTTAGAATCTCTAGAGAAATTAGAAAATTTAATTAAAAAAGGATCATTCTATTAAAAAAAAATTAAGTATTGTGTAGCACAACTTTTTGGGCCACCCTGTATAATTACATAAGTCCTATTTCAATAGATTTTATTAAGACCTTCAACTTTTATACAGGAAGTTTTTTTATATTGTGCACTATTTTCCTAATAATTGACTGTTCCGGGACTTTTTACACACTGTGTATAAGGGTTCCTGAAAAATACTTGCGACTCGAATTTTTCACGATCTATGAATTGATGGTTTTTAATTCTCCAAAACAACCTGGAAGTTGATATGAAACTTACAGCTAAAGTTAAGAATTTTTTCTCTTAATGATGTTTGAAAAAGTCAAAAAATTCCTATAAAATCACATATGAGGGTTCCTGAAAAATACTTCCAGACATCATAGCGACTTGAAACTTTCAGGACTTATTATCTAAAGTTTTTTCATTGTCCAAAACAAGCTGGAAGTTGATATGAAACTCACAACTAATGTTAGGAATTTTTTCACTCATTGATGTTTGAAAAATTCATAAAATTCCTGTAAAATCACATATAAGGGTTCTTGAAAAATACGTCAAGCCAGCACAGCGACTCGATCTATGAATTGAAACTTTTTATTTTCCAAAATAAGTTGGAAGTTGATATGAAACTTACAACTAAAGCTACAACATTTTTCTCTCATTGATGTTTGAAACATTCATAAAATTCCTGTAAAATCATCTATGAGGGTTCCTGAAAAATACTTTCAGCCATGACAGTAACTTGATATACTTTCAGGATTTATTAATTGATGGTTTTGCATCATCCAAAACAAGTCGGAAATTGACCCAACTAACCCAAACTTGATGGTTTTGTCCCAAATGAATGTAAGAAAATTTTAAATGATCTATAACTTTCTCCACCAAGCTGCGCCAAATTTGATGATTATTAGCAACAGTAAACCGGCTGTAGTCTCTGGGAGAAGCTGCAAATTTTGGTATGGGTTGTGCAAAACGAAATCTTAACAAATCTAGTATAGAATTTAAATCGGTTCTCATAGCAATAGTTTCAATAGGGTTTTCTATTTCGATTCAAAATAATTCTACAAGAAAAATTCTTACTTGAAAAAGTGTATCGTTGAAACAATCAACAAGCGGCAAAGTAACATTGTTGAACGTATAAATATTAACGAAATCGTTATCATTCAACGTATCCAAAATATCATTAACGATTTGGAAGGATAACTCCTTTTTTTTGCCTCGCATCGAACCAGATCTGTCCAATAGAATAATAATATCTTTAGGCGAAGTCATAGCTTCAGTAAACCAGGATCTTGTACGGAAATCGTAGGTTTGATAATACCGCTCTTCCGACCATTTAACAGCTAAAATATTTTTTTTGTCAAATGTGTTTGCTCAAAAAGTACAACTTACCAGGATAATGTCGCATAAATCCTGCAGGGCTTGCAAAATATTGCCAAACCAAATCAGGATCTTTGTGCAGGTTTTTTTTGAAGACCAAATCCAAGGCCTCGGACCATCTTATGCCTTCTAAGACTGACATATCTATATGAGAAAATGTTATTGATTAATAATTAAAACATAAAAATCCTTGCCTCTTTCGTAAATATTCGTTGCAACTTTTACAACGCTGACATTCAAATTCACCCTTTCGTCGAAATGGAAATTATAGTTCATTGGCAAATTGGCATAAGTGTCGTTTTTTCTTAAAATGTCTAGAAGATTGTCGCAGTCGCAAGAAAATTCTTCGTTTTCGTAATAGTCTCGTTTTTCAAATAAATCCTTTAAATTTCCCGGTGACGTAAACATGTTGAAGCTTAATTCCAATGAGAGGTTTTTTTGTGTGCACCACCAATGACATTCCATCTTCAAAACAATAATTATTATTATCAAATTAAGCATTAATTGAATACATATCTACCAAAAAAACATCTTCAACAATTTCCAATGTCCTTGTTATATTTTCTTCTGTATGTTCAAATTCATCCGCATCATAATAAAAATATTTGTCTCGAGTTTCGTTTTTGTAAGCTTCATCGTCTTTGCGATACTTGGAAAGGAATTCCGCATATTCTGCAATTCTCTAGAAATCAAATTTAGCATTTGTAGGTATTATAGTTTCAAGCATTTAAATCGTACTTGTACAGCATGGACTTTGTCCTGCATAAAACTGCTAATGTCTGAAGCTACTTCATCAGTGAGTACCTCGCCGTCAATTGTATATAAATGATTTTGAAGTTGGCTAAAACTCTGGAAAACTTCTTCTTGTCTAGTCATTGTTACACTTAACTCAGTTAGTTTACGTCCAATCTCGTTGGACCAAATTTCAACCCTGAAAAACATTAAAACTTAATAGTTTTGTTTATCGAATTGGGCCCTATAAAGTTAAGCAAAATCAATACGATTGAGACAAGTTGGCGCCTCATCTTCTCGCAGCTTCTTTTCCTTTCTGTTTCGTATAAGATGCCTAATTTGTAACGCAAATAAATAAGGCAAGTTAGTTGATGGAAAATTTTTATATTTGATTTATATACACTTCAAAGAAAGTAAATGATGTTATAGATTCTTTCAACGAGCCAGGAAATTGTCATGATTAAATAAGCTATTCCAAATAATTCCGGTTGTAAATCTAAGATGAGTGAAAAATTTCCAAAAAGACGACAAAATATACTGAATGCGTTAAATGGGTATGTAGTAGTCCATTCATGATGGGAAAATATAGCTATTTCAATGAGTAATCCGAGAATACCGATGGTCAGTTTGTGAATATTGTGATTCATCTGAAAAGAAAGATTTTGGATAATTTTTATAGCAATAACAGCCTAAGCGTCTTAATCTATGTCTCACAATTTCTATGTTTATTATATGCACATTTTTGAATAAACATACAAAACTTGATAAAGGAGAAATTCTTTGGTATTTTTGATTCTTACATTTTAATCGCGATTTCTCTACAAAAAACAGGGGCAAAGAAAACTGGATATAAATCGAAATTTCTTGTTGCATCAGGATTATTGACTGTTTTGTCTAGCAAATGTCAATTGAACTTCGTAGAAAAAGATGGAGGAAAAACTGAAAAATCTTCTATAAATCCTATTCTCAGGTCCAAAATTAAACTAGAAAAATGCATAAAAGTCTGATTTTTGAGCATTTTTATGAGATAGGGTTGAATTAGAACGCATAAACAGCATAAACCTTAGAATACCAAACGCTTAATTATGTAATAGCCTTTGCCTTTATACTTAGGTAGAAGAAAGGTGTAAATACAAAAGTTGTATAGTTTTGGCTAAATTGGCTAAAATTTGAATGTCAAAAATGTGAAATTTTGCATGCTTCCAGCATTTTTCAAATGGGATGCCCTATATTTCATTCTATTTTTTTGAAGAGCACAATGCCCCGATTCCAAAAATATATACTTTGTTTATATTTGATTGAACAGTCTCTCATATATTCGGCTCCAAAAATTGTAAAAATACTATCCTACACTGTTTTTGTGAACCATTCTACCTAGACAGGTGAATGCTGCAGGTAAAATTTGAGGACCTTTACTTGGTTTCTTTGATAGTATTTCTGAAATTTTTAGAACCAAATATGTTGGAGACGGCTCAACCAAATATAGACAAACTATATAGTTTTGAAATCGGGAAAATGTGCTCTTGAAGAATATAGAACCAAATATAGGGCATCCCTTATTATTATAATATTTCACATTTCTGACATTCAATTTTTGTTTCTGACCATGAATTCTAAAAATTTAGCCAATACTGTATAACTTTTGTATTTACATCTTTCATCTACATGTGAAGGTAAAGGCTGTAGGTAGGGTGTCAATATATCAAAAGAAAAACACCCTGTACTTGAACAATCACTTATTATATAAAGTCAGATTTTGTAACTTTATCCACTTTTTGACAATTTGCCTTTTAACAGGAATTAATAATGTTACTTCACCAAACAAGGAACATATTGTGACAAATTATTCAAGTACAAACGAGTGGATTGTTGCGGAACTTATGGGTGGACCTCTGCGGGACGAGCGCACCGAGTTCCGCAGCCATCTATTCAACAATGTGTTGTTCAAGTACAATACTAACTTGATTTTCTCAGTTGTGAGTTTTTCTCATTAGTTCAAAAACTACACGTTTCAGGTGAATGTCTTACTTGAACAGTTCAACAGTATATTCCTAAGTAGATGGCTGCGGAACTCGTGGTCCACCTATAAATTCCGCAACAATCCACTTATTTGTACTTGAACAATAACTTACATATTATATAAAATCAGAATTTGTAATATTATCCACTTTTTGTCAATTTACCTTGCAACAGAAATTAGTAATGTTACTTTACCAAACTAGTAACATAATGTGACAAGTTATTCAAGTACAAACGAGAGGATTGTTGCGGAACTTATGGGTGGCCGCAGCCATTTATTCACCAATATGTTGTTTAAGTATAATACTAACTTGATTGTCTCAGTTGTGAGTTTTTCTCGCATTAGTTCAAAAACTACACGTTTCAAGTGAATGTCACTTAAACAGTTCAACAATATATTGGTAAGTAGATGGCTGCGGAACTCGCTGCGCTCGTCCCGCAGAGGTCCATCCATAAGTTCCGCAATAATTCACTTATTTGTACAGGGTGTTTTTTTTTATATATTAACACCCACTTACAGCTTTTACCTTTACAGGTAGAAGAAAGGTGTAAATACAAAAGTTGTACAGTCATGATTGAATTTTTAAAAACCATGGTCAGAAATAAAATTTAAATGTCAGAAATGTGACATTTTGCATGTTTCCAACTTTTTTTAGATGGGATGCCCTATATTTTATTCTATATTCTTGAAGAGCATAATGCCTCGATTCTAAAAATATATAGTTTGTCTATATTTGATTGAGCAGTCTCTCATTTATTCGGCTCTAAAAATTGTAAAAATACTATCCTACTACTGATTTTGTGGACTATTTTACCTCTGTACAGGTGAATGCTGCAGGTAAAATTTAAGGTACCTACTTGGTTTTTCTGATAGTATTTTTAAAATATGTGGGAGACGGCTCAACCAAATATACACAAACTATATAGTTTTGGAATCGGGAAATCGTGCTCTTCAAGAATATAGAACCAAATAAAGGGCATCCCATTTGGAAAAAGCTGAAAGCATGCAACATTTCACATTTCTGACATTCAATTTTTGTTTCTGACAATGGATTCTAAAAGTTTAGCCAATACTGTACAACTTTTGTCTTTACACCTTTCATCTACCTATAAAGGTAAAGGCTGTAGGTGGGGTGTCAATATATAAAAAAACACCCTGTACAGGGTGGCCCAAAGTCGAGTCTCATCATTGGGATCTCGGTAAACGTAAGAGATACGAAGTCGGTTAAATTATGACAAAGTTGCGCAATTTTATGACCAATAGAGTGCCGTTTTGAAACTAGAAAGATTCCGAATACTTCCGGAGATATACGGAAAAAAACGAAATTTTGTAAAATCGATTTTATTTTTTCCCGGGCCTATTTGGAAAGCAATTTTAAAATAAATGTCACTTCATCATTGTCACTTTTTCCCCTTTAGAAGATGGTACTAGTAAATTTAGAATTCGACGTTTCGTTTTCAGACAGCCATCCTCAACTCACGTTTTTTAAATACGGACCTAGATTTTTTATTTGCGATAATGTCATCTTTGGGCATCCTTAAACCGATACTGTTTATAATATTTCAATAACATGGCGAAAAAAGCAGGTCCGTATTTAAAAAAATAAATAAATTGATGATGATTCCAAAGGAACGAAACGTTGGATTTCAAATTTAATACCGCCATCTTGTAGAGAAGAAAAAGTGACAACGGGAATGTGAAATTGGTTTTTCAAAAGAATCAAAAAAAAAAAAAATTAAGGAAAACGAGAAATTCACGTTTTTTTCGTATAGTTTCCATTTTTTCCTGATTTTATTTAAAAAGATTGTGAAAACTAATTTTATATTCCCCTTGTCACTTTTTCTTCTCTACAAGATGGCGGTAAAACTAAAAATGATTTTACAAAATTACGGTTTTTCCGAATATCTCCGGAAGTAGTCGGAATCTTTCTAGTTTCAAAACGGCACTCTATTGGTCATAAAAGTGCACAACTTTATCATAATTTAACCGACCCTATATCATATCTCTTACGGTTACCGAGATCTCAAGGGCCACCCTGTACATCGGCAAAAAAACATGTTGGATTGTTCGGCCTATTAATGATGATGGGTTTGATTTTTTGAGTGTGGAAATCCCATTCGTAACGCTTGAAATTTGAACTTCTGACCAATCTAAAGTTGAATTATTGAACTGCTAAAAAATTAAAATCTTATTCCTGGCCTTTGTAAAGCCGAATTTAAATTAGGAAACTATTACCTACTCTGATGTTTAACAAGTCTTTTAAGTTAACTTTGAACAAAAGAAGCATGCAAATTCTTAAGCTGAAATTGAATTTCAATGGAAATCAGCTTTAGATCAAGTTAAGGTATGCTTTCTGATCAAGACTCGAAAAAATCAGTTCAAATTCCTTTGGGAAAAGTACTATCAAGTTCATGGGAAAAAAACGACAAAAGAAATTTTGAAAATTTACCAGGAGATTATTGTCCTTTCAAAGTATAGCTTCTTGACAATTTCTTGCAAATTTCTTTTACATTTTTTCTCTCTCAATTTTCCATTTTTTTTTTTTTGTTAGGGCAATTTTTTACACTTTTCATTATTCAAAAACGTAATAAAAATATGTGGTGCTAATGTGAAAAATTAGAGGGATTTTTCAATTTAATTGCCTTTACTTATCGTTAAACTTTATGAAGGATGGTCGTAAATAGACTCTGGTTTATTTTCATTGGGAATTTACGAACCAATATTTGTGATAGTTCAGAAAAAAAAGCACCTATACAAATCAAATGGAAAAGTTATTAGGTACCCAATTTTGACAAACAAAACATTTGAGAAGAAACCAAAAACAAACCTCCCAACTTTATTTCTCTGGACAAATTCTTAAAACTTTTCACAGTAAATATCATGTTGAAATTAAATTTATATTATGAAATATTAAAATATGAAAACACATTTTTTTTTTCCAAATCCAACTAACTTACAATTCTACAGTGTCCGCTTGTATGCCCCTTATCCTCTCGTCAATTTTCTTGGGATCGGACCCATAGGCGGTAACCGTACCGAATAAAAGAACTATTTGGCAAAATTGCATGTTGGTTTTATCCAGAGAAGAAAAAAAAAACAAATTGTCCAGACACTCCGCACTCGGTTTTTATGTTTTTGATACGCGTATCTCGGACTGAACTATTTTTCGAACAAACGAACGGTTTGTGAGGAAATTTCGTTTTTGCGCATCAGGGATGTTACAATTATTATTATGTGAGATTTGGTTTTTCTTTTTCTGGATTTTTATGAAGCTAGATTATTTGAGTTTATATTATTGAAGGAGGTTGTCTTTTTTTTTTCAAATATTTGTAAGACTTATACGACCGATGCCAGAAATTTAAATCGAACTGGATCCAGACAATGGGGCGCCTGCAACAATTTTTGGAACAGCTTATATAGGTCACTAGCATAAAGAGTTTTTGGATTTAATTGGTGAATTTTTTGAATATCTGGTTGTTTTGGTCAAATGAAATCATCAAGGGATTTTTTTTAGAAATTTCACATACTCAAACTTTTTTTTCTTCCGCAGTTGAATTATTCTGCCTATATACCAACCAATCATAGAAAACTGCGTGATATTTTTCGATTTCAATGTGAATATATTCACCTGATAGGTATTGTGGTTTTTGTATTCGGGGTTACTGCACTTCATAGTAGGGATTTGTCATATTTCATGGGTATTTAACTGTATTTAAATGTATTTGAGTGTATTTATTTGTATTTGAATGGATTCAAACAAAGGGTATAGGTTCCACCCCTCGAATTTGTGCAAACAATTTCTCAAACTACCCTCAAATTTCTCCAAATTCCTCCAAACTCCCTGCAAACTTCTCCAAATTGCTCGCGAATTCCCTGCAAATACCTCTTACAAATTCCATAAAAATCATCAAAATTGTGTGATAAGAAATGTATTTTTCTATTTTTTTTATGCTCAGTGTTAAAACCTATAAATTCCTTCAATTTCTCATATATTCCTCCAATTTCTCATAAACTCCTTCAAATTCCCCATCAACTCCTCTTAATTCCCCACAGTTTTGGCAAAGTATTTCGTGGTTAACTCCAGAAGGATCTTTTTATTTTTTCCTAAATTTCAATCCTTTCTTCATCCACTCGTTAAATTTCAAGCCAATCCATTAAACACTTTTATCAAAAAATAAATGAAACGTCCTGCAATGTCGTTTTTTGAAGCTTGATGTTTTCCAAAATAACATTGAATCACATTTTACTTCACATCTTTGTTAATTTCAATCCGATCTAAACGTAATTGGGCTGGAACTGAAGCTAATTAAATCCTTCATAAATCTCTATTGGGTTTTTTAAATGCAGCTTCAATAATTTTGCAGCTGCAAAGCTATAAAGCCTTCCTACTTTAATTTTTATCAAGGTGAGCGTGTAAAACCAAATTTTTATTTTTTTCTTGAATTTCAATCCTTTCTTCATTCACTTGCAAAATTTCAAGCTAATCCTTCAAACACTTTCCTCGAAAAAAAAATAGAACGTCCCCAATGTCGTTTTTTGGAGCTTGAATTATTCCAAAATGATATTGAACCACATTTTACCAAACATCTTTGTTAATTTAAATCCGATCTTAACGTAATTAAGCGTGAAATGAAGCCAATTAAATCTTTTACAAATCTACTGAGTATTTTCGATGCAGCTTCAATAGTTTCGCAGCTGCAAAAGCTTTAAAGACTTTGATTTTTATCAAGGTGAGCGCGTGAAAGCAAATTTTTATTTATTTTTTCTTAAATTTCAATCACATAGTTTCCATGGAATAAACTACCCCTCCCCCCCCCACGAATTTTTGCAAACAATTCCTCAAACTTCCCGCAAATTCCTCTAAAGTCCTCCAAACTGCTTGCAAATACCCTGCAAATGCCTATTACAAATTCCGTGAAAATTCCCAAAATTTTTATTATGCTCAATGTTGAAACCAATAAATTTCCCCAATTTCACGTACATTCGTTCAATTTCCTATAAATTTTTTCAAATGTCTCACAATATTCCTCTGATTTTGGCGTACTCGAACGATAACTTAATATATAAAGTCAGAATTTGTAAGATTATCCACTTTTTGTCAATTTACCTTTTAACAGGAATTAGTAATGTTACTTTACCAAACTAGTAATATAATGTGACAAGTTATTCCAGTACAAACGAGTGGATTGTTGCGGAACTTTTGGGTGGCCGCAGCCATCTATTCATCAATATGTTGTTTAATTACGATACTAACCTGACTCACTCAAATGTGAGTTGCCTTACTTGAACAGTTTAACAGTATATTGGTGAGTAGATGGCTGCGGAACTCGCTGCGCTCGTCCCGCAGAGGTCCACCCATAAGTTCCGCAACAATCCACTCGTTTGTACTTGAATAACTTGTCACATTATATTACTAGTTTGGTAAAGTAACATTACTAATTCCTGCTAAAAGGCAAATTGACAGCAAGTGAATAATCATATTACAAATTTTGACTTTATATAATAAGTTATTGTTCAAGTACAAATAAGTGGATTATTGCGGAATTTATGGGTGGACCTCTGCGGGACGAGCGCAGCGAGTTCCGCAGCCATCTATTCATCAATATGTTGTTTAATTACGATACTAACCTGACTCACTCAAATGTGAGTTGCCTTACTTGAACAGTTTAACAGTATATTGGTGAGTAGATGGCTGCGGAACTCGCTGCGCTCGTCCCGCAGAGGTCCACCCATAAGTTCCGCAACAATCCACTCGTTTGTACTTGAATAACTTGTCACATTATATTACTAGTTTGGTAAAGTAACATTACTAATTCCTGCTAAAAGGCAAATTGACAGCAAGTGAATAATCATATTACAAATTTTGACTTTATATAATAAGTTATTGTTCAAGTACAAATAAGTGGATTATTGCGGAATTTATGGGTGGACCTCTGCGGGACGAGCGCAGCGAGTTCCGCAGCCATCTATTCATCAATATGTTGTTTAATTACGATACTAACCTGACTCACTCAAATGTGAGTTGCCTTACTTGAACAGTTTAACAGTATATTGGTGAGTAGATGGCTGCGGAACTCGCTGCGCTCGTCCCGCAGAGGTCCACCCATAAGTTCCGCAACAATCCACTCGTTTGTACTTGAATAACTTGTCACATTATATTACTAGTTTGGTAAAGTAACATTACTAATTCCTGCTAAAAGGCAAATTGACAGCAAGTGAATAATCATATTACAAATTTTGACTTTATATAATAAGTTATTGTTCAAGTACAAATAAGTGGATTATTGCGGAATTTATGGGTGGACCTCTGCGGGACGAGCGCAGCGAGTTCCGCAGCCATCTATTCATCAATATGTTGTTTAATTACGATACTAACCTGACTCACTCAAATGTGAGTTGCCTTACTTGAACAGTTTAACAGTATATTGGTGAGTAGATGGCTGCGGAACTCGCTGCGCTCGTCCCGCAGAGGTTCACCCATAAGTTCCGCAACAATCCACTCGTTTGTACTTAAATAACTTGTCACATTATATTACTAGTTTGGTAAAGTAACATTACTAATTCCTGCTAAAAGGCAAATTGACAGCAAGTGAATAATCATATTACAAATTTTGACTTTATATAATAAGTTATTGTTCAAGTACAAATAAGTGGATTATTGCGGAATTTATGGGTGGACCTCTGCGGGACGAGCGCAGCGAGTTCCGCAGCCATCTATTCATCAATATGTTGTTTAATTACGATACTAACCTGACTCACTCAAATGTGAGTTGCCTTACTTGAACAGGTTAACAGTATATTGGTGAGTAGATGGCTGCGGAACTCGCTGCGCTCGTCCGGCAGAGGTCCACCCATAAGTTCCGCAACAATCCACTCGTTTGTACTTGAATAACTTGTCACATTATATTACTAGTTTGGTAAAGTAACATTACTAATTCCTGCTAAAAGGCAAATTGACAGCAAGTGAATAATCATATTACAAATTTTGACTTTATATAATAAGTTATTGTTCAAGTACAAATAAGTGGATTATTGCGGAATTTATGGGTGGACCTCTGCGGGACGAGCGCAGCGAGTTCCGCAGCCATCTATTCATCAATATGTTGTTTAATTACGATACTAACCTGACTCACTCAAATGTGAGTTGCCTTACTTGAACAGTTTAACAGTATATTGGTGAGTAGATGGCTGCGGAACTCGCTGCGCTCGTCCCGCAGAGGTCCACCCATATTTGTACTTGAACAATAACTTATTATATAAGGGCAAAATTTGTTATATTATTCACTTTTTGTCAATTTGCCTTTCAACAAGAATTAGTAATGTTACTTTACTAAACTAGTAACATAATGTAACAAGTTATTCAAGTACAGGGTGTTTCAAATTCGAACCACATCATTGGGATCTCAGAAACGGTGCGAGATACAGGGTTGCTCATAGAGAGCAAAGTTGCGTAATTTGATATTCAACAAAATGCCGCTTTGATATTTAGGATATTTCGAATACTTCCGGAGATATCCGGAAAAATCAGAAATTTCATAAATCCTATTTAATTTTTTTCTGACGTTATTTGAAAATATATATCAAAATAAGTTACACTTTGTTGTGGCCACTTTTCCTCCCTTACAAGATAGCGCTGTCAGATTTGAAATCCGACGTTTCGTTTTCTAGCAACCATCATCAACTTTATTTTTTTAAATATGGCCCTGGATTATTTCTGTTTTTGTTACCTTATTTCGATCTCCTAAAAACAATGACATATCACAATTTTTTAAAAAATTATCGGTATACGAAAAATAATTAATTAAAATTATGATATACCCATCTCTGTCTCACACATTATTTCCGTCGTAAGTTTACCTTTGTCATACACATAGAAATCGCAATTCAAATTTTATTTTGAATTAAAAGGTACCTTTCCAAAATTAAAAAGAACCATATAATTCAAAATAAAATTTGATGTGCACTTCCTCGCGCTTTCTATGTGTAAGACAAAGGTAAACTTACGAAGAAAATTATGTGTGAAACAGAGATGGGTATATTATAATTTTAATTAATTATTTTTCGTATACCGATTTTTTTTTTTCTAGATTGTGATATGTCATTGTTTCTAGCAAATCGAAAGGTAACAAAAACAAAAATAAAAAATCCAGGGCCGTATTTGAAAAAATAAAGTTGATGACGGTTGCTAGAAAACGAAACGTCAGATTTCAAATCAGACAGCGCTAGTGTTTTAAAAAAACCGGTTTTTTTCAAATTCGAAAAAAACCGGAAAAAACTGTTTTTTTTCCGAAAAAAAACCAATAAATTTGGAAAAATTCATTTTTATTTCAATATATTTACTATTGTTGGGTTACAATATGACTACTTAATATTGTGTACAACACAAACCAAACAGTCTGATATTTTTTTCACTATTATTGGCTTTGGCAAGTCCAAACCAGGCTCCAAATCCTAATGAAGATTCTTCTGATTCTGAAGTAGAAAGTTTTGAATGTTGTAATGAGTCTTCAGAATCTGATATCTAATGTTACTATATACCATTTATGCAGCTTATGCTATGCTTATGATTTCGTTTTTGTTCTGTTCTCGCCTTCCTGTGCGAAATATTTAAGAAGAAATTAAATTTGATTTTTTCCATATCTGGATTTTTTTCAACACTCTCGGAAAAGAATCGGTTTTTTTCGGAAAAAAACGGGTTTTTTCCGAGCTGTTAAAACACTAGACAGCGCTATCTTGTAAGGAAGAAAAAGTGGCCACAATAAAGTGTCATTTATTTTGATATATCTTTTCAAATAACGTGAGAAAAAAATAAAAAAAAGATTTAATGAAAATTCAGTTTTTTTCGGATATCTCCGGAAGTATTCGGAATATCCTAAATATCAAAGCGGCATTTTCTTAAGCATCAAATTACGCAACTTTGCCCTGATTTAACCAACCCTATATCTCTCACCGTTTCTGAGATCCCAATGATGTGGTTCGAATTTGAAACACCCTGTACAAATGAGTGAATTGTTGCGGAACTTATGGGTGGACCTCTGCGGGACGAGCGTAGCGAGTTTCGCAGCCATCTACTCACCAATATACTGTTCAAGTAACGCAACTCACATTTGAGTGTCAGGTTTAGTATCGTAATTAAACAACATATTAATGAATAGATGGCTGCGGAACTCGCTGCGCTCGTCCCGCAGAGGTCCACCCATAAGTTCCGCAACAATTCACTCATTTGTACTTGAATAACTTGTCACATTATGTTACAAGTTTAGTAAAATAACATTACTAATTCCTGTTGAAAGGCAAATTGACAAAAAGTGAATAATCATAATCTTACAAATTTTGATTTTATATCAAAAGTTATTGTACAAGTACAAATAAGTGGATTATTGCGGAACTTAAGGGTGGACCTTTGCGGGACGAGCGCAGCGAGTTCCGCAGCCATCTATTCATCAATGTTATTCAATTACGATACTAACCTGATTCACTCAAATGTGAGTCGCCTTACTTGAACAGTTCAACAGTATATTGGTGAGTAGATGGCTGCGGAACTCGCTGCGCTCGTCCCGCAGAGGTCCACCCATAAGTTCCGCAATAATCCACTTATTTGTACAGGGTGTTTTTTTATATATTGACACCCACCTACAGCCTTTACCTTTACAGGTAGAAGAAAGGTGTAAATACAAAAGTTGTATAGTTTCAACTGAATTTTTAAAAACCATGGTCAGAAGCAATATTTGAATGTTAGAAATGTGAAATTTTGTTTGCATGCTTCCAGCTTTTTTCAAATGCGATGCCCTATATTTCATTCTATATTCTTGTGTCTGACCATGAATTCTAAAAATTTACTCAATACTGCACAACTTTTGTATTTACACCTTTTATCTACTTGTAAAGGTAAAGACTGTAGGTGGGGTGTCAATATATAAAAAACACCCTGTTATCTATTTAAAATCTGTTTTTTTATTAAATATAAAAGTCAAAATGACATTCTGTGATGACATTATGTTGGCAATACATTGTAAAGTTGTCAATGCTTGTGTTGCCAACATAGTTACTAAATTTTTGACATGGGGGGTTTTACCTTAAAAAAAAAAAAAAAAAAATATGAAGTGACCTCCCCTTCGGGCAAAGATAAGTAAGGATGAAAAATGGAAATTTTCGGAGAACCCTCCCAAGCAAGGTCCCTCTTCTCTCCAAGAGGCGATCCTAATGAATTAATTATAATCAGAAATCTTCACAAGGTTCCTGAACCTGAGGATGAACCCATGCATTAAGCACCGAAAAGGCATTAAAATGTTTTCAAATCACACTTAATAATACATTTATTTATATCTACAATTTAATTGAACTATTTATAAAATTGATGGTGTTCAGCTTCTTCCCAGTGTTGTCTATTTCTACTTTCCTTACGGTCATTTGATCGGCTAAAAATGAAAAAATTTAAAAAAATTCAAAATTCATAAGAAAAATTACCATTATCCGAAGTGTAGATTACAACCCTATCGATTTGTACTGTAAGATTTCCCGGACTGTTGTCAGTATCAATAGGGCTACAAATTAAAAACAAATTAAAAATACTATACAAACACAATTTGGTCAAATCCTTACGAGCTGGTCAAAGTCGAAGTAGCATCATCATAAGCAAGAGAATAGTACAAATATTCCTTTTCATTTTGATATTTAAAACTTTCAAAATCGTCCGAATACAATCTGCCTTTTGCTTTTTGGTGGTCATCCAATACAATGTGAAGTTCCAAAGGATCATTTTTAATATCGGCGGTGGATCTTAGTACCCTTGGTTTTCTAGGAATGATGCTACCTGCCCTGTAAAATGCTGGAGTCTATAAAAGCAAAACATTAATTCAATATCAAAATGAATATAAGTACGTACAAAAGTGATATCAATGGGAATATTAGCCCAAGTGCCTCCATTGTAGAGGTGCGTAGAATTTCCATTAATCAAAACCCACTTGTCGGATTGTCCAGGGAAATAAATTCGAACAGACGTGGCATTGGATTCATATACTGATGTAGTCAAAATATCAGTACCAATCAAAAATTCATCATCTAAATCGTAACCAACAGGATCTTCGGGATACTGGTACAAAAGCGGGCGCAAAATCGGATCACCAGTAACAGTATTTTCGTAGAACAAAGTGTACCAATAAGGAAGATGCTTGTAACGGAGTTGCATGTTTTTTCTTAAAATGGCTTGAGTTTTGTTACCAAATCTGAATGGTTCACGACGTGGCGAACCTTGAGCAGCGTGAGCTCTAAAGAATGGCAACCAAATACCAATCTACAATAATTTTAGTTTTATTGAATTTTGCTGGATCAAACTAATGAATTCTTACCTGGTACCATCTAACAAGAAGTTCTTCGGTGGCGGTACCAAAGAAACCAGGAATATCGGCACCATAAAAAGGCAAACCGACTAAATTCGAAGTCAAAGCCATCGGAACGCTGTAGCGTAAGTCTTCGAAATCGCCCCAGTTATCGCCGCTCCATTTGTTGGCGTACCTTTGAGATCCAGCAAAATAGGCACGAGACAATATAAATGGTCTCAAAGTACCATTATCACGGGTCATTAATCCTTTGTGGGTGGACATGGTTTGAAGCATTCCGTAAATATTATGCACGTCTCTATGTTTGACTCCGCCATGGTGGACAAGATCGAATGGGAAAGTTCTTTCGTACAAATTATCGAATAAAGTAGGTTCGTTCATATCGTTCCAGTAACCACCTAGAGCTGAAGTTGAAGGGAAGTTTTCGTACAAGTGCAATTGTGCATAGTAGTCTCTAGCTTCTGGGTTCAGGTAATCAACCCAACTCGAATTGCCAGGCCAACATTCTCCAACAAACGGAGATAAACCGTCTGAGTTATTTACAAACCAACCACCATTCAAAAGATCATTGTAGACTTTGTAGGCGGGATCGATTTTGATATGAGGGTCGGAAATTGGTACTAATTTACGATGCCCTTGGGCGTCCACCCAGTTTAATAGTTTTACAGGATCTGGGAAAGAGCTTGCGTTCCAGGTAAACCATTTACGCTCTGAGGTGTATTCAATGTCCAACCATAAAACATCCAAAGGGAAATCGTAAGTGTCAAAATTACCAATTGTGTCCATTACGTCTCCTGTTGTGTTGTAGGCCCATCTGCATTGATGGTATCCTAATGCCCAAAGCTGAAAGTAATCTAGTTAGATCAATAAATGTAATTATTTTAAATATTTACTTGAGGCAAATGAGGTTTTCCAGTAAGGTCAACGTATTGCCTTACAGTTTCAGGAAGTGAAGGTCCTAGCAAAACAAAAAGATCAAGTCTGCCACCATCAACCATAAAATAAGCAGAATGTCTATTATTGTTGATGTCAATCCACTGTTCTGCTGCGTTGTGATGGAAAATACCGGAAGAGGTTTTATTGCTAGAAAAAATTTTCAGTCTAAAAAAGTTCTACAAATAAATAATGAAAATTCCTTACCCAAATCCATAAATAACAGGAATCGAACCGTACATCGATTTGGTAGTGTTGAGAGAGTACTCGGTGGTACCGTAATCGGTATTTCTGAGCCTGTAAGGATCGATGCTGAAATCAGCCGTATGTCTGAGCTTTAAATTGTCAGCATGCTCGTGGAGGCCCATCAAACGATTGGCATTGGGGAATTGTACCGAAAAAGTGAAGGCTTCGCTTTCTTCAGTCTTAAAAACAAACCGGTATTTAATTTTTTACTTAGTTTAAGGCAATTTAAGCTTACATCTTCGAAAATAATTCTGTTTCCTTCGAAAATGCTGGTTAAAGCGTTGTCTTGGTAAAATTCGATTGACAAAGGGGTGGTTTTTACGATTATTTTGCTTCCAGATTCGGTTTGAGCTGTTACAGAAATGTTTGAAGTCTCCACAATGGTCAATCTAATAAGGAAGAAATATGTTTTTGCAGCAATTTAGGACCTAAACATTAACATGTAAATTTTATTGATAAGGTATTGTTTTTGGAAAAATTCACAGTTTATCGTTATTTTGAAGTATTATTATCAATTCTCTGAGTACCTAGGTACTTTAGAGCCAGGCAAAATCCTAGATCCTTTTGTTGATAAAAGGTAGGTACTTACTTTACAAGATTGGGTTCCTTTTCCAAAGAATGTTCCAATTTATATCTATGTTCATCGTGTTCTTCGACAATGACACGGAATCTTTTGCCTTCAATTGCACTGATGCTCAGAGCCAATTTGTTTCCGCGTTTATTGGTCAAATCGAACAATAATGTAGAATTGTTGTTTGCAGAAGAGTTAACTAGTTGAGCGTTGAATTCTTCGTTTTCGTTGGGAAGTTTTAATCTAAGGCTCCTATAGAAAATACGCTTGAAATCAGTGAATTAGGAAAATTCGAGCAAACACTTACGAGCAAGTAGTCTTGGTTGAGCAATTATAAGGAAACGGAATATCGAGATTTGTGTCTGCTACAGCAGTTGTAGCCCAAAGGGCCATTCCTAACACGAGCAACCTGAAATAATTAAAATTATGTATTGTTTTCACTACACAAAAATGTATATTATTACCTTAGCAACTCCATCATTCTTTTGGAAGGCAACTGGAGATTTAAAACGACAAGTTTTTATTTATATATTCGTGATGGTAGTACTTGAAAAGACAACAAACACTTGAATCTTATCAACACAGAAATATGTTAGCACTTGTTTAGAGATTAATTTTGTTACTGATCATTATATAATCCTCTGGGTCAAGATATTATTTTATGATTAATCGAGGCTTAAGAGAATACAGGAAAAATAAATGATAATTATCGTAAAAAAAATATTTCCTAGTGCCTACCTAGGTACTTACAGTTAGCAACAAGATGCATAAATTATGATAAAATATCATGAAAGCCTTACATAGAAAAAATTAACAAGAAAATAAGTCTAATTGTATTATTTGGGGCACCGAGCCTAAGAGCGTACTGATTTTGGAAAAAAAAAGAGACAAATTGTTAATACATAAATACTAATCACCTGTCAAGAGATGGATGTGGTAGTAGATCGCAAACAATTACAAAAACAATAAAAACTCTTTAACATTTTCAACTTATGAGGGCCATAAGTAACCTGAAACTCTACCGATATTAGAAAAAAAGTTATGACTTTTCAAAGTTTTCCAAAATCTAAATCATAATGTAGCTACCTTCTTACTAAAAAGAAGAAATTTCATATTTTTTGTTGTTGAGATTTTATGTCCTATGATACTTTAGGATCCCCCAAACCCCATACACTAAACTATTCTGAGATGTGGAGCCAAATTCTATGAAAAAAGGTACTCAGGAAAATTGAAAAATTGATAAATCACCCCAAATTGCTTAACACGATTTTATCTCAGGAACAATAAGTGCAAATGAGCTGAAATTTTGAGAGATAGTGGTTCTCTACTGGGATAAGTATCGCTGATTCTATGAAAAAAGGCACTCAGAACCCGAAACTCCAAAAATTGAAAAATTGATAAATCACCCCAAGTTGCTTAACACGATTTTATTTCAGGAACTATAAGTCCAAATGAGCTGAAATTTTCAGGGATTGTAGTCCCTTGATTGGGATAAATTTCAGTGAAAGTTTCAGCTTTCTACCTGTAATAGAAAAAAAAGTTATGAACTTCCAAATTTTTCTAAAATCTAAATCATAAGGTAGTTACCTTCTTACTAAAACGATGAAATTTGAAATTTTTTTTTGCTTAGATTTTGTATCCAAATGGTCAATCAACATACCCCAAACTCCATACACTAAATTATTCTCAGATTTGAAGCCGAAATCTATGAAAAAAGGCACTCAGAAAAATTGAAAAATCGATAAATCACCCCAAATTGCTAAACACAATTTTATCTCAGGAACTATAAGTGCAAATGAGCTGAAATTTTCAGGGATTGTAGTCTCTTAATTGGGATAAATTTCAGTGAAAGCAGGGATCCCAGATCTCACGATTTATCGTGAGATCTCACGATTCAGCACCAAGTCTCACGATCTCACGATAATGGATTCTAATCTCACGATATTTTTATATACGCGGCTTGCCGCTTGCAGTATTTAAAATATCTTTCATAAAAACGTAACATTTATTTTCTAAGCAATTTTTTACACAAGCAAACAATTATTCGGATCGGATATTCCCGCAGCATGGAGTCCGAGTCCGATACTGGAATGGAATGTACCATGGCGCCCCTAGCGGCTTTCGGAATAACTAGATCTCTACGCTCCTTTTGCGCCGCGGCGCGGAGTAGTTTTCTGTAATCTGCCGCTTGCTCCTCAAGCATAATTATAGGTTACAAAACAGGCGCCTGATTCTCGAATTTCGAAACAAGGGAGCAGCGTTCTCACGAAAGCAATATTTCAATACGAAAGTAATTAATTTTTGTTTTTTTTTTAAATTATGTTTAGTTTATAATTCAAATTGAATATTTTGTGCTTCAGATAGTCCTGGAGAAATGAAAAAACCTAAAACCCTATACTTTATTTTTTTCCAAGATAGATTTTGACATTGTCAACTTTGAAACATAAACAATGCCGCTAATGCCACTTATTGGCCGCTATTGTAAAACTGATGTCAACCTGCAGAAACACCTCATTTTGCGACCAATCAGGGTCAAGCGTTATTGTTTATGTTTCAAAGTTTTCAATGTCAAAATCTATCTTGGGAAAAAATAAAGTATAGTTAAAACAATAATTTCGCTAAAATGCGCATGCGTTTTACGATCTCACGATTTCTCACGATTTTTTCACGACCGATATCACGATAATAGGCTCAGAGCATCTGGGATCCCTGAGTGGAAGTTTCAGCTTCTATCTATAATAGAAAAAAAGTTATACCTTTCAAAGTTTTCCTAAATCTAAATCATAAGGTAGGTACCTTCTTACTAAAACGATGAAATTTCAAAAAAAAATTTGTCGAGATTTTCTATCCTAATGGACAACCAACATCTCCCAAACTCCATACACTAAATTATTCTCAGATTTGAAGCCGAAATCTATGAAAAAAGGCACTCAGAAAAATTGAAAAATCGATAAATCACCCCAAATTGCTTAACACGATTTTATCTCAGGAACTATAAGTGTAAATGAGCTGAAATTTTCAGGGATTGTAGTCCCTTGATTGGGATAAATTTCAGTCAAAGTTTCAGCTTTCTATCTATAGTAAAAAAAAAGTTATGATCTTTCAAAGATTTCCAAAATCTAAATCATAAGGTATATACCTTCTTACTAAAACGATGATTTTTTACGACCATTTTTTTTCCCCGACCTTTTTTTTTCAAGCATTTTTTTTCCTGACTTTTTTTTTACCGACAATTTTTTTTTTCCGACCATTTTTTTTCTCGACCATTTTTTTTTCCCAATTTTTTTTTCCCGACAATTTTTTTTTCGACCATTTTTTTTCCCGACTTTTTTTTTACCGACAATTTTTTTTTCCCGACAATTTTTTTTTCCCGACAATTTTTTTCCCGACTTTTTTTTTCCTGACTTTTTTTTTCCCGACTTTTTTTTTCCCGACCGACTTTTTTTTTCCCGCCAATTTTTTTTCCTGCCTTTTCTTTACGACCATTTTTTTTTCCCCGACCTTTTTTTTTCAAGCTTTTTTTTTCCCGACTTTTTTTTCCCGACAATTTTCTTTCCCGACCATTTTTTTCCCGACTTTTTTTTTGCCGGACTATTTTTTTTTCCCGACAATTCTTTTTTTTTTAGACCATTTTTTTTTCCCAATTTTTTTTTCCCGACTTTTTTTTTCCCGACTTTTTTTTTCCCGCCTTTTTTTTTTCTCGACAAATTTTCTTTCCCGACTTTTTTTTTCGGGACAATTTTTTTTTTCCCGACAATTTTTTTTTCCCGACCATTTTTTTTCCCGACTTTTTTTTTCCCGACCATTTTTTTTTTCATGACCATTTTTTTTCCGACTATTTTTTCCAGACTTTTTTTTTCCCGACAATTTTTTTTCCCGACCGTTTTTTGTGCCGACTTTTTTTTCCCGACTATTTTTTTTTTCCCCTACAATTTGAAAAAACTTTTTTTTTGCCCGATTTTTTTTTTTCAGGACCATTTTTTTTCCGACTATTTTTTTTCCCGACTTTTTTTTCCCGACTTTTTTTACCCGACTTTTTGTCGATTTTTTTTTCCGAATTTCTTTTTTCCCAATTTGGGTCAACTTTCGTTTAGCAGAAATCAGCTATTAGAAAAAAAAATATAAAAATGTCTTTAAAAAGCCTCCAAAAACACAAAAACACACAAATTTTTCTGCGGAAATGCGTCATTTCCATTTTCCGGACTTTAGAATAGCTGAAATCAGTTGTGTGAAAAAATTTTGTTTGTTTGCATTTTTAACATTTTTCTGAAAATATCAACACAAAAATTTTCTTGCGGAAATGAGTTGTTCCGATTTTCCGGAAAAATTTATGAGACTTTAGAATAGTTGAAATCGAGGTTGAAATCAATTACGTGAAAAATTGAAATTCCTTTGCATTGTGAACATTTTTCTGAATGAAAAAAAGGAAAAATTTTCTCGCGGAAATACATAGTTTTTATTTTTGAAACCATTTTCTCACACTTCAAAATAAGCTGTCAAATTCAACTAGATAATCAAAAAATGCATCAAAATCCTCTTCCCGTCCTTTGACACTCGTTTGACACAGATCAATGAATTTCAATGCCTAGGCTCGAGGTATCAAGTCGTATCAATTTAATATCGCTACTTATCGCTTTATCGCTGATATCTGAAATCGCGGAAATCAGTAATACAAAAATAGAAAAGCGTAAGATTTTATTGTCAAATTTTAATTTCAAACAGTAAAAGAAATCCTACAATAACCTATAGTCTGGCTAGCGAAACGGCGAACTCCAATAGAATTTGCTGCTTTGCCAAACTTGACTGAAACAATAATAAACAAGTTAGTGACATTTTTTTTTTTCGCTATATGGGTATAGGTAGTATTTTGAAATAGAAAAAAAACCGGCAACATTGCGAAATGATGGTTGTAGAGAGGCGTGATTATTCAGAGGCATGATTCTATTGGTTAGAGTCTGAACGACAGCACTAGGGAGAACAAACTATCGATAGGAATATCGATACTATCGATAGTTCTGTACCAATATCGATAGTTCCAAAGTAGCCAAAGGTGAATGAAGACGTCTGTAAATTGAGGGAAATATAAATAAATCTATAGCTGTTTTGAGAAATCTGTAATTATTTTTTTGAGGTAGACATGCAAAATAAGTTCGTTTTTTTTATAGGTTAGAGTAGAGCCTAGTTTACGTTGTATTTAGAGTTTTTGAGTCTTTTTTTCTCAAATAAAAAAATATACCTTTATTTTTTGATTAATTTATACCAGTTATACCAGAGCAAACTATCGATAGTACAATCGATAGTTATTATCGATGGATAAGTCATTTTATTGATATCACTATCGATAGTTTTTTTTTCGATAGTTTGTCAACCCTAGACAGCACGCAGTGGCGTGGTTATTGGCGAAACTAGAGAATATTTTCTAATAATTTTATTGGTTTATTTCCCTGGTGTTTTCGGTGCCACTGATCCCAAAGACATGGCTGTCATCAGGCGGTGTCAGTTGAGATGTCATTGAATATTTTTAGGCTACGCCCCTTTTTTCCCCCCCTTTCGTCTCTACCAAGTTACCACTTGCCAGACTATACAGGGTGTCCCACGGTGGATGGCGTATTAGACGTTTATGGAGAACTAAAAAGCGGATCATTTTGAAAATTTGGCAACCGGGATAAACGACCATGATCTACACTTTAAAAATATTTTTGACCATGCGGTGTTGCCGCTTCTACTCTAAACTAGTGGCAACATCACTATTTTAAATGTACCACCCCGTATTAAATTGCATATTTGGATTCTACGTAAAATTCTGAGCAGATTTCATGTGATATACCCTATACCTAAGTTTAACTGTTTTGGAAAT